GAAAGGAAAGGTCGGCCAAGGCGTTTTGACAGCTTGGACTCCAGAGGAAGAATTTCTTTGCGAATTCTCGCATTCATTGCATGATTTCTGCAGCGGTGGCTTTTCGCCGCATTGTCCGCAAAGATTCACCTCTGACTTGTGGGCACCCAGCAAGATGACTTACCCGGAATTGCTGAATTCTAGCGGTTTGAAGCGCCAAGAGTTGGAAAGCGGACTGCAGATGGACGCAGGTCTTGTCTCCGTGTTTTTAGAGCAGCCTTTATTCCTGCGGGTTCCCCTTCTGCCGCTGGAACTGTTATTCAAAAGAGATTGGTGCGCCTTGATGTTAAAGGGAAGTGACTTTGCCAGCGGCCCAAGGGCGCAGCTAGCTGGGCAGGCTAGCTTGCAGAAATTGCAGGTGGAATTGGGGGACTTCCCTCCGCAAGTTTGGATAAGGCAAGCCGTCCAGATGAAGAAAAATGCACCTGCCGCAAAACATGATCAGGAAGATTTGCGCTTTCAAGCAGTGTGCATGCGCAGCAGCTATCTCAATTTCTTCGCCAGTGGTCTGGCCACATCTTGGGTGAAATAGAGGAAGCAGAAGGCTAGTATCTACGTGTTATTAGAAGAGCACATCCTGCGCTTGGATCACACTGAGCCGTGCCCTGGAGCCACCTTCGCAAAGGGTTTCCTATAGCAAGTTTGTACTGTTGAACGCCTTGTGCGCAGCCATGAACTTGCGGGACCGCAGTAAACTAGCGGAAGCTCTCCGCTTGACATTGGGTTGTATGCCTGGTGTAATGGTAGGTCTTGGCTCTGGCTCTGGCACAGAGGCATTGCCCAAGTTGCCAGGTGCATTCGCAATAAGCCGATCTCAAATTCAAATTGGCGCAGCTTTTTGCTGCTTCTGGAAGGAAAAGTTTGAAAGCTTTTCAGCAAATTGCGCTGTGTATATGTGGGCGGATTCATCCCCGCAAGGCGGCGTTGACTGGCTGCTAAGCATGATGCGCGTGATTGAAGAGAAGGATTTGGCCTTTTGCGCAGGCCGCCGAATTCTTGGTGAAGTCAGCAAAGGACTGGCATGAGCGAGTTTTCATGCAAGAACAGGAGGGCTGCGGCCGTGGCATTTCCCGCTCGTCAGCTGCTTCAAAGCTGGAAGAAATTGTTCAGGAAAGACATGCAGCAGGTCTTTTCCTCACTGAAAAAATTATCATTCATCGACAGATTCCCATGGCTTTAGGTAGCGGCGGGGGCGCTGCAAATCTGGACCAAAAGCTTCTTTACTTTGCATGTGCAAGAAGTTCCTGGCAACAGTCCCTTGCCAAACCGATCATGCATTCTGTTTGCGCGTTCTGCACTGATCTTGGCACTGAGAGCGGGTTCACCGCGCAGGAGGAAGGTTTCCGATTTGCAGATCTTCTTCCAAATTGGATGGCAGATGCCGGTTTGGAGTCTGAGGAAAATTTGCTTTTGAGCGCCGAAGCTGAAGCGGACGACCAGTATTTGTTCGCAAACGCGTTGCCTTCTCCAGGACTTCGTCAAATTTGTTTAAATATGTGTGAGGACATCCACAAAAGTTTGGGCAAATATGAAGAGTGGCTGCCTGGTTTTAAGGCATTGGCAACGCTCCTGCACGAGCTGCACTTGAGGAAGCGGTATCTCGCAACATGTGTTTTGGATACCCCCTGGTCTTGGGTGGCGCACCTGCTGCAGACGGCGGTGACCAAACCCGCAATGTGGCGATGGGGGACGATTCACATTTTGTCACAACTTTTGTCACGAAAGCGGCTGCTTCAGCTAACGTGGGACCCACGCAAGTTTGCGGGGGGGCGGTGAAGCCGCTGAAAGAGTCTCAGGACAGTGACTTCCGTGCAAACATTGTCACATCCACAGTGAGGTCGGAAGCATGGTGGCTCTACGCCCAAATGCTGTCCAAGTTGAATCAATATCCTGCAGATCTTTCAGCTTGGTGTGGTGAAGGGTGCACTTGCCATCCGTGGCTTTTCCAGCAACAGCAGCGGGATTGTCCAGGAGTTGATATTGAAAATCGTGATCTGCAGGCTTGTGAAGTTGTCGAAGCTGTCCGAAGATTTGGGCTATGCTTCAAGGCAAGGAGATGGAAGATATTTTCGTCCGTGCCCATTGGCTGGTCAAAGAGCGGCGGAACTTGCGAGCGGCGAAATTTGGCAGCAAATAGACGCATGGAACACGGGCTATTTGCAAGATATTTTGCAGGGAAATGCTTGCACTGACCAAGCGGAGATTGACGCCGCACTGAAATATTTTTCTCTTGGCAAGTCTTTAATTGTTGAATATTTGCAGCACAAGCTGCAATGCTGGGAGTCTTCGCCTTGGAAGCTTGCTGCTCTGAATAGCACAGGCACTGGGCAGCCAGAAGGGCAGCGGCGGAAGCCATGGCCGCGTATGACAGGTTGGTGGCGGATGGAGCCACAGTCACCGAACTGCATCACAGCTGTGAAATTGACGCAGAGTCGCAAACAGATCTGCAAGGACTCAAAACCAAAGTGATAGAGGCAGAGGCGTTGGAATCTTCAGGTTTGGTTGAAGCTTTGGTTGCATACCCAAAAGGGGCGGAGAAGGAAGAAGGAGATGCAGCCGCATCAAGTTCAGCAGTCAAGCGGGAAGCCCCGCCAGGGCATGAGAAAAAAGGGGCAGAGGCAGCGGCGCCGCCCATCCAAGTGAAAACAGAGCCTGAAATGGAGAACGCGGTCATGCCAGCCACCATGAACGAGATGCCGCTTGATGCCCCTGAGACGGCAGAAGCAGAAGAAGCGGCGCCAGCTGCAAGCAAGGCAGAAGATGGAGAGAAACGGCTGATCCAGCCGCAGAAAAAGCAGAAGAAGAAGAAGAAGCGGCAATGCTAGCGGCAGCTGCTTAGAAAGCAGAAGAAGCGGCAATGCCGCCAGCTGCATCTGCAGAAAAGGCCGAGGAAGCAGCAGCATCGGATTTGGAAGCAGCAACAGTGGCCTCAGCTGCCGAGGAAACAGAACCTGCAGGTAGCCCCGCCGAGGTAGAATATTTAAAAGAGCGGGAATTTCCGCCACCCAAAAAAAAAGAAGGAAAAAAAAAGAAGGAACGAGACGGCTGAAGAAAAGACAGCCAGACGGGAGCAGCGGCGCAAGCTGCGAGAAGAGCAGGGACAGCGGGAAGCTCCGCCTGCAGAAACGCTCAAAGACAACTAGGTGGAAAACCCGCCTGCAACCGGTGCCAGCAGCGGGAAGCCCTGCCGGCAGACCTGCAGCCTGACCCAGCTGCCACAGTGAAAAAAAGGCTGCACCTGTGTGAGCTCTCGGCATTTCGCCTTCAGATGTGTTTCTTTTCAGCACACATTGTGTGCATAAATGTTTTCTTAGGGCATCTGTTCCTGATTTGTGGAGAAACTTTGATACAACAATGTTGGGTATCTTTTTTTGGGTTTCAACACGTTTTTCAAAATTTTCTTCCATGTTTGATGCAGCTTCATTTTTTCGGGTGGGATCTGATTGCAAACTATCGCGTTTGAGTGATTTCATAGATGGTAGTATGTAAGTACATTGCCATTAGCTTTTTTCCATGAATATCATATTCGTTTGAAATTTGTCAAAAGGGGTCGCGTCCTTAGAGTCACTTCGGTCCTCGGGTTTGCACATCATGGTTCGGGCGTGGTTCGGGCGTGGTTCGGGCATGGTTCGGGTTGTGTTTCTTTTTCTGTTTTTTCCATTTTCATTCATTTTTTGGCCCATTGTGGTTCGGGCGTGGTTCGGGCGCGGTTCGGTTTTGCAGCTTTTGCTCCAACAATGACATTTCAGCCAATTTCTAGCAAAGTTTTCCCCCAGTGACAGGCTCAACTTCCCGCACGCCTGTTCTTTTACATTTTGCACACTTTGAGCGGCTGCATCTCCAGTTTTTTCGTATTTTGGCTCCAGAGGCACCATCCACCAATGGAATTCTGAAAAAATATGTGTTTTGCAACGGTTTCTGTCAGAAACCACTGCAAGTGACCAATTTTAGGAACAATGGCTTTAAAACACATGTTTGATTGCGCAGCGACCCTGCTGCTCTAAATTCTTACGTGGGAGCAGCTTTCCCTCGCATTTTCTGGTTTTGCCAGCAAGACGTTGCAGAGATTCCAGGGTCAAGTAGCGGAGTGCAGTGCGCCACCGTGGATGGTCCGCGAAACCCCGCTGAGAGTGACATGTGTTCCTGGAGAGCTTGGAGCAGCAGGGTCTGCTGGGAAATTTTGTGGATGCTGTCACAAAGGGCATTCATTGTTCCAGCGGCTACAGCGGCATAGGAACAGCGGAGGAAGCCGCCAGATGCTTATGCCTTGCTGCAGAAGCTGCAACCCAGTGGCTGTGTGGAAAGCTGCCATTCTTGTATGTTCAGCGCTCTGGCGACATGGAGGCGGAATGTCGCACCGTGCTTCTGGTATCTAGCCGCAAAGGAGGCCTTGGAGCCCCGAAGTGTGTCTTTGGCGACATAGGGGAGCGATGCAACAAAGACATTTGGAACAAAGTAGCGGAAGAAATCGACCGCATCCACAACAGCACAAGGTGTTGCAGACCGGCATCGATCCAATTGCTTTTGTCAAGGAGACATTGGAGAGGGTCATGAAGCAAGACTTGTCAAAGGTGACCAGTTTTTGCTACAAGCACGGTGGCCAATGCCCTGTGTACCCTGTTTCCTTGCAAAGCGACGATCAAGATTCTGGTCGAGCGGCGTCGGCGTGCAAAGAAGAAGCAGGCTGCGAAGGGACAAGCAATCAAGCGCGAAGCCCCGCTTTGCAACTACACGTAGCAGGCTTCAATTGCTACGATTGGTCGTCAATGGGCAGCCGCAGGGGATGGTTCGGACCATCCGGATTGCCATTTGTTCAATGGCTATCGGATCGGAGAGATTGCAATTTGAAGAAGATATTGTGGTAGGTGAAAACACGTTGAATTTCGATGTAGCTTAGCAACCTAGAGGAAATGATTGCGCATCAGTTCGATCTAGAATGTTTGAATGTCAGCCCAAGTCTGATGGGTGAGCCTGTGGAGCGGCGGCGGCTTTACATTTGCATGCTCCGCAAAGGTAAGCGGCGGTGGCGGCGGTGGAGACATGAACTGCTGCGTCAGGGCTTGGGGGAAACATGGCAAGAGGTTTTCGAAGCAGTTTTTCAACGAAACATCGTCATGACTGCAGCCGGCAAGTTTCGGGCCCCGGCTTTGGGTGTGAAGAACTATATAGCCAAACTTGCTGAGCAGCAACACCTTCCCAAGAACACCCGAAGCGGCAAGGACTGGTCTTGCTTCCAAGCAGTCAGCAGAGCTGTTCGAGACAAGATCCAAGCCCACCAAGAAGAATTAGCGCGGAAGTTACTTTCTTCTGACCTTGACTCTGGCTTGGCAGCGACGGCGGATGATCCTTTGGAGCTGCGGCACTGGACATCAAACGTCGCACAGCAGCCCCATTTCATGGGCCCGGTGCGCGGAAATGTTCCCGCCATGCTGCAGCATACAAACCTTTGGATTTTTGGCAAGCGGCGCCTAGCGCTGCCCATGGAGCACTTAGAGATCCAGGGCTGGAACATATTAAATATATGGAAATGTCGACAACCCATATCGGTCAAACATCTTCGAAGTTGTCAGCAGCATGCAGGATTCCCGCCTAAAATCCTTCGCAGGAAACGGAATGCATTGCCAAGTGGTTGGTGCAGTCACTGCTTTTCTATTGGCTGCAACAGAAGATGTTACAGCATGAAAGAGAAGCAGCCCGACTTAGCACTGTGAGCAGCGGCAGCGGATCATCCGCCGCAGTCCAGCATATGAGCGCATCATCCGCAGAAGACCAGATCAGGACCTAAAGCGTGAAGCCCACCTATGCAAGCGCGAAAAACAAGGCAGGAGGAGAGGAAAGCGAAACTCAGCGGGGCCTGAGCCGCAGGAGGATATATCCACTCAGGAAGCGCATTGCGGGTAACGGAGGGCCCCGCGCAAAGTGCCTTGCCGAGGAACGACGTGCTGGCCACTGCCTTGGCCGGCTACCTCCCAAAAGATAGGTGTTTGCAATCTGCCGACGAAGCGGACTTCCCAAACGAATTGCTTCCAAAAACGCGGTCCAGCAGCTTTGGGTTTGCGGCGCTTGCCGTTTCCGTTTCCAGCGCGAGGACAGAATTGGCCATGCTTCCTTGTGTTCGTGTCATCCAAGAGGGCTCCTTGATGGTGGCAGTGCACTGCCTACAAACATTTGCAAAGGGAAGCATGGCAGCGGGACAAGCCTTGATGGCGCAGGGTTCGGCGGAGGAGTTGTTGAAAGCTGCCAAAAGCGGGGAGCTCCGCTTGGCAACTTTAATAGGCGCCGGGGATTTGCTCTTCCTTCCCCTTGCTTGCATTGTGAGCCACAAAAAGCTCATGGAGCGGACGTATGGGGTCCGCGCGGGTGTGTTGAGCATGATGTTTAACGAGCGGCTGAACGCGCTAACGGCGGCAGATGAAGACCTTCCCCCCAATATACTGCAGACAATTGAAGCAGCAGTACGCGAGCAGGCAAAGGAAGGTTACGATGTAAATGAAGATGATTTCGCTGCGGCAGAACTTGAAGGCAACAAAAAGGAACCAGAAGGACCCAATGAGGAAAAGAAACAAGACGAGCTCAACAGCGGGACAGCACCGGTCACAGTCACAGAAGCCAGAGGAGCGGGTCGACGCCGCATCCGGAGCGGAAACCGCTGAACTGTCGGTTGACAATACAGCAACTAATGCTAAGTTAAGGCTGGCATGCCGCAAAATGACAGTGTGGAGAAGACAAGCAAGAATTATCTTGAAGACACAGGCGAGAGCAGCGCCAATGCTGCAAGACCAGCACCAGAAAATGAAGAAAAACCGCAGACAGCAGCAGCCTTGTCTGCTCCAATCGCCATCGCCAAAGATGAGAATCAAGAAACAAAAAGCCGGGCTAGCCAGGCACAAACGGCGGCCGCAAATGAAGGCCCTGCTGTTTCTGCGGGCAGCCCTGCCAAGGAACAAAACAAAAACCTACAAAGCCCATGAGCAGAAGTGAAGGAACGGAACCAAGAGAAACCAAGCCCGACAAAAGGGTCAAAGGGAAAAGAGCAAAAAACACACACGAGGATTCTCAGGATGCAATGCTGCCCACAAAGGCAAACAAAGAAGCGGACAAAACAACGCCGCAATCAGAAGAAGCCCCGCCAAATGTAAGCACTAGCGCGGAGCCAGCCACTCCGACGAACAAAATAAGTCGGAAAGTAGATGCAGAAGCGCCCCCGGTTTAGAAAGGGAAGGCACAGCCCGCAGCGAAGGGTGATGCCAAGAAAAAACAATGTAAGACATGAAGCCAAAAAAAACAGCGGGAAGCCCCGCAAAACAAGAAAGGTGAGAAACAGACGAAGCAACAGTGCGAACCCTTGCGCACCAGACAGCAGAAGTTGAAGCAGCTGCAAAAGCAGTGGGAAGATCCGCAGAGGCACAATAAAACATTTGTCAGCCCATGCTGAGAGCCGCAGAAAGCTGGGCGTAAGAACAAATGAAAAAGCTGGCGGGCAGCCCCGCAAACCAGATAGCGCAAGAAATTTGCGCAAGTTTTGACCGCTTGTTGCATGCAGAGCGATTAGATTCAGTAAAATCGATTGCAGCTGCCTGTGGGAGGCCTTCCGGCGATATGTTTTCACACATTTGCTTGCAACTCATGAGCTGAGTTTTAACATGTCTGCAAATCATGGTGTTTGTTTGTTTCTTTTTGGGGCTAGTTCAAACAAAGGCAACATTTTTACCGGCGCATAGTGTTTGCAGTCCGCAATTTTCTGAACTAATGAACAAAAGGTGAAATGAGGAGATCGTAATTTTAGGCTTGGAACCATTCGCAAACAAGGACTCAGCCAATCTCACAGTGCAGGATGATGCCACTGTGGCCTCATCAAACTGGCAGCTTTTGGAGTCCGTGGATGCTGCACTGCCGGGGGAACCCGAGCACTTTGAACCGCATGAGGTCAAAGAGCCGGAGATGGATGGTGAGCTCATCGACGCCATCCTCAAGCCCTTTTTGGATCGGTTGCCGGGTGTTTCCGACGAGCGTGACATTGACGAGCCGGATGCTGACGAGGAGATTGTCTTCAGAGAACCCATCGTCGGCGGCTCAGCATCAACGTTTAGCCAGCGGAAGCTGCGCTCCCATCTGATGAATAAGATCCATGCTGTGGACTTCAGATTGGATGGTTCTGGCGTAGTGAACATCTTGGACACCGACGTCACGCGTGACCCTGCCAAGCTTGAACTTCGGCAGGAATCCATGCAGCAGACCGAAGAGGGTGCAGTCATCATTCGTCGCTTTGACTTGACGGATGAGGAGAAGCATCGTCAGATGGAACGGGAGATCTTTGAGGAGCCCAAGACCGCCGAGGAGAAACTTCGCGCGGGTGACCCTGCTGCCACTGTCCAGATCATGTCGAAGGCCAAGTCGAAGGCGGCTTCCTCATCCGAAGCGGCATCATCTTCGAGCGGCATCGCACAGGTGATCGGGGACACTGTCAGCCAATTCATCAAACCAAAGATGAGGGATCAGGCTACCATGATTCAGCCCAAGCCTGCTCCGCGGCTCCCAAAGGTTTCAACGGCGACGGGAACGTCTCCCATGGCGTCCCCAAAGCCCAGTCCGCCACCGACTCCGAAGAGTGCAACTGGATCCCCCAAGCCGGAACCACCTGCACTCCCAGCGGAAGCTGCGGACCATCCAATGCCCAAAGCTTTGCCCTTTAAGGCACCGCCTGCAACGTTGACAACAACCTCACCGAGGGCACCTCCGCAGAAGTCATCGGCGCCTGCAGCTACGTCTTCGTCGGAGCCTGCCCCGAAGATGGCCAAGAAGGAGCCGCCTATGGCAAGTGCTCCTCCCCCGGGAACGGGTGGACCTCAGCCTCCGGCTGAACCGCCCTTGCGACCACAGGGATATCCCAAGTGGTACTTTTTCTCCCCGGGAACGGGCGAGCGCAGGGAATTCACCGTTCGGTGTACAGACCTGCCAGGCCTGAGGGACCTTGGAAGACTCAGTCATGATGATTTCAAATTTTCAAAGAGGGTGACCGGGCTGCTCCGTGGATATGATCACAAATTCCTCGAGGCACATCATCGCCATATTCCTCCTGAATTTGATGAGGAGCTGTACTTGAACTTTGAGTCCATGTACGCGTACCTCCGAAAGCGGCATCGTGCTCAGCTTTCGCGACAGGACTTGTACCTGATTCTTCGAACTCAGGACAGGTTCATGTGCCGCATTCAGGCTGGAATTGTCGGGGAACTGACAACCATGGACATGCCCTACCGCATCACCCACGTGAAGGCCTGCCAAGGCCATGACCAGTCGCTCATTGACAAGGTGGGAACGGCTCCATTGGTCAAACAAATCATCTCGCTTGACTACCAGTTCACGGTCGAGGATTTGAAGAAGGGATTCTACCCCAGGGTTCCCATTTATCCTCACCTGGCGGAAGCCGAGGTCTCAGAAGAGTTTAAGGTTATTTACCATTACACTTCATGGGACTCCCTCCAGCAGATCATTTGCACGGGGATTTTTCCAGGGGCCACTTCATGCAAGGGTCATGCGTATATGACCCGCCATGCGCCTTGGGAAATCGAAGGCAAGGATCCTGGCGTCAGGACGAACAGACCGCTGTGCATCGCGATCGACACTGATTGTGCTCTGCACTATGGTCTTCGCCTGGTGGAAACCTTGGCCGGTGCACTCATCACTGAGGACTGGGTGCCCAATCATTGCCTCATCTACGCATTCGATTGCGAGAAGTCGCAATACCTTTGGGCGAACCATGGCTACAACGGTGTGAAGAAGTACCTTCGGCAGAAGGCCTCCGAGAACGCTCTCACTTGGCAAGAGAACGAGGCTCGGAAGGGCACTCCCAACTATGACGAACTTGAGAGGTACGAGATTTCGGACCTGGAGGTGTTGAAGAACATGTTCGTGAATGAGTACGATCAGTGGAAGGATGTCATCACTCTGCGACGTCCGCTCATTTACAAGGAAGTTCCGACACCATACCCTGTCGTCGATGAGTTGCTGCCCAAGTTCAAGCAAAGGCCGCTCAACTTCACCAATCTCCTCTGTGTGGCACGCAAGCCGACGGCAACAGCTGCTGGCTTCGACATCGCCCCTGACAACGCGCGGGAACGCCGTTCTGATCGTTTCGATCAGGAGGCATTTGACCCATCCGCGGAGGGGAACCTCACGCGCTGGCGGTATGTATCAATGCTGGCAATGCCGGAGTTGACATGCCCCCGGTGCAGGAAGATTTTTCCTGAGGGGATGTTGGTTTGCCTTGCATGCGGCTTGTCGTTGGCGACAATGTCCGACATGCGCCGTGCGTGTCAGGTGTTCCGCCTGGAAGAGTTGGCCGAGAAGCTGGGCTTCGAGCTGACATTGGATCTTCTGGGTGATGACGATGTAGCAGGCACCACACAAGGTGCCAAGCAGATCAGATCTGCTGCTGCAGTCCTCAAAAATCACGCCCGCTCATACATGAAGCAGGCGAGAAAAGCTGGACTGACTTTGCTACAGCGTCTGGGAACGGACGCCCATTACGCCTTTAATTGTGCGGTCCAAGACCTTACACCTCGGTGTATGCATTGGATTACAGTTCTGGGCAATGTGGTGCTTCCCTCCATCAAGCGCACGCGAGAGGAGATCCGAACTGGAAAGATTCGGCAGTACAAAGCGCGTATGTGCATGGTCGCATACGAAGAGGAGCAGATGAAGACGATCATCGTGGATGATCATGTACTCATCTGGTACAAGAACCGCTTTTACAGAGCCAACCAGTTCGCGGCCGCCTATGCCTTGATCCCGGTGGCCGAACGTTTTGAGGTCTTGAGCGTCGCCAACACGACGTTCCAATCCCTTGCGTTGTCCAAGCAGGATGTGTATGCCGACATTCTCAGCTATGTCGAGGACATCCTGCGCCCCCTCACGGAGGCAAAGGACACGGAAGGCGGAAGCCGACCCCTACCTGCAACGAGGCAGCAGAACCCGGATGTCACCAGGTCCTCGCGTCCTGGCTATGGTTCTCATCAGGGGCCCACTCATGGCTACAGTCAGCAGGAATGGAATGACTACTACAATCAGTGGACTGACCAGGAGTGGGAAGATTGGCGCCGTCGAAATCAAGGCCACCAATACAGGGATCGACGTTGGTCGGGCTATCGCTGAGGCACCGCGGAGGGGAACCTCTCGCCTGGTGAATTTATCTTCATCAGAGGCGGGGCATTTTCCTTTCAATGCACGGTGTCGCACAGCGGAAGCTGTTGCCTTTTCGAATCTAATTCGGTTAGGCGACTAGCTTCATTTTTGCACGCGTGGTTGAGCGATTCCACGGTTATTTCCAACACAAGTGTGCTAAGTCGGAATTTTTGCCAACTCAGTCAAGTTCACAAAAGTTTCATTAACGCTTTGAATGCATATAATTTGAAGCAGGCATTTGGCACTCGTCTTATTCTTGCCATGATTCCTTCTTGCATAGCACACGGCTGGTAGTTGCATGTACCGCAGAGCGGAAGCTCTTGCCTTGCGAAGTTAAGGCAGCTTTGAAGCATTTCTAAAGGCTTCCCTGCGGGTTCACACAACATTGAATTCAGCTTTTGCCATAATTCAGATTGCTTTGCTTTGGCAAGCTCCTGGGCGACCACAAGAACTTTTGTTGCCGCGTGGAAACGCTGGCCTAGTATTGGGCCAAGACCTTTTCTTTCCACCTTGCACGTTCGACCACAAGCCCAGTCGAGCCTAAAATAAAGCTGAATGCATACGACCGAATTGATGTTCATCGCATCCATTGATCGCAGCACTTGGAGTCAGATTAGACGGTTTGCTCTGTGATGTTCATTTGCCACATCTTGCCGCACTCAGGTGACGACTGAAGACTACATCAAAGGAAGGCCTTGTTTCCGGGTTGGTTGTGTTGGATGTTGTTTGGTTTTTGGCATCCCTTACTAGCCTAGCGCATGGTCATAATTTGCAGCTTCATCTTCCTGTGCGGTAATTACACTGCACGGGGGGTGTTGTTGCACAGTAGTCTAGTATGTACACTATAGATTCTCACCTTACTGTGTGGCAATGGCTCAAGTAAAATAGCGCGTAACTGTGTATCTGGTTTGTGGCCCATAGTGGTTGTTTATCTGTTTCTACAAATATTATACGATTTGTTTAATTACTATGACATTCTTTATTATACACGCTATTATGAGAAGATAGATTTAGATGTTTTCGCCAAGCCAACAGCAACGTGGCAGTGCCATGCCTTGAACATGTTGAGTGCGAGGACGACTTCAAATTGCCTCAATGATGCTCATTGTACTTCAGCCACTCGACCCAGTTGGAACTTCCTAGCAGATACAAACGGCACAATTATATCCGCTTATATAGGATGTTTGCATGCGCAATTATTTGCGTTTGAAGATATTGGAATACATTAGAATGATGTATGTGCGCATCCGTGTGCAAGATTCAGTCTGCTATCTTAGTTTCACAAGATGTTGAATTTAATGGTTAAATATGGTTAATTAATCTTAATTTGATCTCATATTCTGCATTTGGTGTCCAGGCCTGCATCTCTGGCAATGGAGCTACATGTGCTGAGGCATTGGCACTAGATAAGTGCCAGCTTGGAAGGGTGGCAAACGACACGTATGACCGAGTCTATTAACAGGTACAGTATGAGATCATTGCATCAGCAAACAACTGTTGTAGAGTCTAGAGTCTGCTACAAGAATGAAAACTCCAAACCATTGCCGAGGAAGGCTTACCCTTTCTGACTGTTGCCAGAATGTGATGTGGATGTGACAGGCCTTTTGCAACACAGGGTTAGGACCCGAGCAAAGCTGGTCGTGAGAAAACTTTGGTCAACGGCTGACTGCTCCTCCGGGGTAGTCCGCTGCTCTAAACCGAAATACTTGAGGTTTGGCGGCGTGGTTGGTAGATGCGATTGCTCCGGCAATGTGCTCTCATCAATCTTGACCGTGCAGGAAATATATGAACAGAATGAACATATTTCATCTTTTTGTGCAATGTTGGCTCCAGTGGGTGAAAGGTACTGATGCGAGGAGCTTTGAACAATGCTTCTTGTGAGGCACGGCGAAGCCATAGGTACGAGAGTGTTACGAAGTATCTTGCGTTGGATAGGGCAAACCTTTTTCGGTTTGGTGCCCTTGCAGCCCCTGCCCTTGCAGCCAGCTGGCAGGCCATAGAGGGAGCTACGCCAAATGTGCAGGTGCATCCTGTGCCTCAGAACATCTCAACAACATATGCACTGGCACCTCGTATTTGCTGAAATTACACATTCCAGCACTTGATTTTTTTTTTTTGTCTTTGTCAAATTCGCGCTAGTTCTCAGTCTTCCTGCGGGTTTCTGAATCACTGCATGTATTTCTGACAGCTATTTTGGCTCCGTAATACTGTAGCATCCGTGAAAGATTTAACTCAGGAATGAATTCAAAGATTCGATTTGGTTGTTTTGATTATCTTTGATTGCATGGATCTGCCTAACTCGCCTACCTTTGGCTTAGCGACCTTGAGTGCGAACCTTCCTCAACCTTTTCAAGCACTCGTGGGGTCGTGCAAATGCCCAATGCAGTCACTAACACTAACACGACGGATTATCCACCCTTTTTATGCAATTTCTCCCGAACCTGAGGCTGCTTGCAATTGTGAACTCTCCTGTTGGTAGGTGGGAGAAATTGGGAGAACACATATATTCTCTAACAAAGAGCACAGTTTTTCAATGCCAAGCTTGGATCCATGCAAAGCCTTCAGCGTTTGGCGTAGACCTCAGTTCCGGCATGGATCTAATTGCTCTTTGGTTCTGCAGCTGCTGAGTTTGCAGAATTACCAGTTGTTCAGGCCACCCTTTTCTGGGTATCCCTTGCTTAGCGGAGCAGGACTGAGATAGGACTGAGGTTGAGTCATGTAAGCACAATTTATTGGGGTCAAAGGGCAAAGAGTAAGAAAGCAAGTCGCCAAATTTGGGAGCCTGGGAAAGGGTAAACCTTTGTAATTAAGCCCTTACCAGTAGGTATCCTTAGGTTGCAACAGGTTTCTAAGCTTGCAACTGCACCAAAGCCAATGATGTACCAAGAGCCTCCATTTATGTCCTTGGCCGATGCATTTCACGCCAGTGTGGGTGATGTATTTTGATACAACGATGCACCACGTCGGAGTCCACAGCCAGGAGTGGCTAGCACAGACCTCAGCGCTCCGGGAGCCAGCTCTACGAACTACGGGATTCCTTACCTACCTGTACCAATAGATCCAATAGGGCGGAAGTTTCAAAGATAGGAAACTATAGGAGAGGTGAGTTGCTGTAATACATGGATGGCAGAGCGAACCCACTGATGGATCGAAAGGTGGTTGAGGCTTACAGTCTCTCTCTCTCTCTAACTCTCTTTGTCACCTCTCTGTGTCTTTCTATCTCTCCCTTTGTCTATCTATTCGTCCATCTATCTATCTCTAGTGGAGTTGTAGTTGCAGTTGTGGTTGTAGTTGTAGTGCAGTGTAGTTTAGTGTAGCGTCAAGTAGTGTAGTGTAGTTGACGCCTAGTGTAGTTGCAGTTGTAGTTGTAGGTGTAGTGTAGTGTGGTTAGCGTAGTGTAGGGTACTTGTAGTCTAGTAGTGTAGTGTAGTTGTAGTCTAGTGTAGTTGCAGATGCAGTTATAGCTGCAGTTGTAGTTGCAGATGCAGTTGTAGTTGTAGGCGTAGTGTACTGTAGTGTGGTTGTACTGTAGTTGTAGTGTAGTTGTTGTTGTTTTTTGTTGTAGCTGCAGTTGTAGTTGTAGTGTAGTTGCAGTTGTCGTTGTGTAGTCGTAATTACTTTGTAATTGTGTTTAGTGAAGTGCAGTGTGGTGTAGTGCAATGCGATCCAGATCCTTTCCAAATGTCCCACGGCAGGCCTGCCGTTGTTTTTGCAATTGCTACAAAACCCTCACGGTTTGCATCGTTTTGCTCACTTTTGGCGAGGCGCAGAACCCATCGCGCCTGCCACGAAAAACGACACTTGAACGTCCAAAAGTGGTCCGAACGTGGTGTGTTTCGACCATTTTGACTTCTAAACCTGCTTTGGACATCTTCGCGCCACAGCGCCGCACACGTTTTCAACATCTCAAATCTCAACGTCCAAAAGTGGTTTGAGACCGTCAGTTTTTAACACTTTGGACTTGCGAATGTGCTCCCCGCCACGGTCGCGTGCACTTTTTGCAGAGTTCATCGTCCAAAAGTGTTCCGACCATGAGTTTTGAATTGCAAACGTGCTTGTCGCCACGACCGCGTGCATTTTTACTTCCACATGCACGTGGCGCCACACTGGCGTGCACTTTTTGAGCATCTAAACGTCCAAAAGTGCTCCGAACATGGTGTGCTTTGTACGTTTTGACTTCGAAATTTGCTTCGTGCCATAGCCGCGCGCACTTTCTCGACTTCTCAACTGCCAAAGCTGGTTCGAACATAGAGTGTTTTTTCGCATTTTGACTTCAAAATGTGCTTCGTGCCACAGCGGCATGCATTTTTTGATCTCTCATACGCCCAGATGGGCTCCTACCCGCCACTTTAGCGACCCTACATTTGGACCCTCCATTGGAAAAACATAGTGTTTCGCGACTTTTCTCCCTTTTCGCGCCCCTTGATCTTCTTTCTGCTGACTCTTTCTCTGCTGTCTTTTTCTCTGATCTGATTTATCTGACTGCTCTCAACGCTGGTGCTGCACCTGTCCATAAGTCGGAAATTCGATTTCTGAAATCTTCTACGCTTCTACTGCAGCATGAGCATTCATCCACTTCATCCTAATTTATCCAACTTTGTCACATTATGTCACCTTCCTGTCCTTGGACAATCACCCTTGTGAGGGCAAACCATTGGAATCCATTGGAGGCCGCAGAAATTCAGGTAAATACTGGGATTCCTATGAGATCTATGAGCCTTGATCTCATTGGAACGGACCTGAGCTCGAGGCAGGAGCCCATGGAATGATGTGCACAGAATACCTGATGGCAATTGGTTGATTTCAATTTGCCAATGGCAACGTAATCGTATATAGTCTACTTAGAACCAAACATAGGGCCCCAACACCGACAGGATCAAGATAGCTGGTAGCACCTCCCGCTGTGAGGAGGCTGGAACTTAATTTCTGCCAATATGTCTACAAGATCTTCAAAGTTATCGGTTCGTTTTTGCTCACCGGTCGTACTCTTGGACCTGAGGATGGACACTCTGTGCTTGACGTGGACAGGTGGGCTCGGGAACAGGGTCAGGCTGAACTGGCATCAGCGGGCATGTGCATTGACACTATCTAATCTATTACCTACCTACCTGCCTGCTTGCCTACCTACCTACCAACCTCCCTACCTACCTGTAATATACTTACCATTACCTGCCCATTCATCCATCAGTCTATCGGTCTATCGATCTATCTATATGTCCATCGTCTATTCATTTGTCTATCCATCTATCACCTTTCGCTATTTGTGTAATTCTCAATGTCCTTCTCCCTGCATCTATGTGAGCAATTGTTTTTCATTGGGTTCTGGTCATCAGGCCTTGGGAAACGCAACTGTGGCGTTGCACCCCATTGCCCATGACACGGCACTGCCCCAAGACTTGTTGGGGACCGGCAACCGCAGCAGAACATATTTTAACATCATTTCACAATCTCTCAGGTAAGGTGTTGGACCAGCAGCTTTGCTTGTGACAATGCCATGATCTTAGTAATTTGACCTTTTGCTTGGCAAAGCCTTCGCATCTTATGAATTTGAAAGATGACAAGACCAAGGTCAGCATAATTGCTTTGCGCGTGATCACTTCTGCCAGGGTGGAGGTGTTTGAGCGTTTTGAAGTTTATGTTTGGAGGTGTCTTGAGATAATTACATTTGCATCGTGCTTAATTAATTGATTTTGATCTCAACATATCCAAATTGCCGTTTGCCTTTGCGTGATTTTGTTTCTGAATTGGATGAAAGGAATGAAAGGATGTTTTGAAAGATTGAAAGGCATGTTTGGCTAATAGCATGTCTCATCATGTCTCAGCAGGTAAGCGCATCGCACAGATGCAGGGCTCAACCCGTAGTTGTTTTTAGTAATGGTTCGTCCTGATTAGTGTGAGGACCCCGAACAATAGCTATACCGCTATACCCTCTTTAAAGTTTAAAGTTGGGCGCAAAAAGGCCGTTCCCCAGGACAAAAAAAGTCTGCACTCAAGTAAGGATTTCAATTGGCTGCAATCGAAGTCCAATTAAAACTGTTTTTTGCTGATGAACTTGTGATATTCGTAGTACTTGTAGCCGAAGGAAGTTTGAAAGAACTTCCGTGTTAAGAATATGAATGAACGAACGAATGAATGAATGAAATAAATTTGAATGAAATGAGATGAGATGAAATGAAATGGAATGAATGAATTGAATGACATGAATGAAATGAATGAAAAGAAAAATAAGGGTTTATTTAATAAGCGCTCTGATTCTTTTGGGAAAGGCTTGGGCTTTGAACTTGGCAATTGCTTTTGGAAAAGGCCTACCTTTCTTCTCTTGGCTCCAGGATCAGCTCTGGAAAAAAGTTTGCTGCAATTCTGAAACCTGAGAACAAACCTACTAAAGTGAACTGGACCCTCTCATGGCCCAGTGCCTTGGGAATTTGTGGAAAAACTGTTCTTGAATAAGGGTTTATAAATAAGCGCTCTGATTCATTTGGGAAAGGCAGACAAGCACGACTTTTTCCAGAAAAAATGTCAATATTTGTTTCACTCAATCACTTTGATTTTGTTCAAAAAAAAACATGTATGCCCAAAATTAATAGCGAACCTAGCTACTAATCAGGATACAACATTAATCTTGAGTCATCTTGAGTCATTTCTAGTCATTGGTTCTCATGTCTCCCCTTGTCTCCCTTTGTGGGTCTCCGTTGGGCCGATGACAGCCAATCTGTGGGTGATAGGACTGAGCCGGGTTCAGTTTCTGGTAGTCCCCTGAAGCCATCGCATCCCTTGCAGTTCTTCCAAAATGCCATAGTGAATCTGATGAGCTCCTCTTCAGATCTTTTCAGGCAGATAACACTCTGACAGATGCCGACAGCATGGCAAACATGCTCTTTCTCATCATGGTTTGAAGTATGAGAGCATTATGATAGAATGGTGCAGACCGATTGCTGGATTCGGGTATATACCAAACTCCCACGCAGCTGGCTGTGTTTATTTTTTGCGAGGCATTCCATTTTTCAAACACGCTTGATTTTAAATGATTTTAACATCTCCAAGAAAATGCAGCCGCAAGTGGTCTGGTTTGAGATGGCTGCTTGGAAGACAGAAAGCATCTATCAGAGACATATTGAAATATTGAATGGGGCTGTGCCATCCCAAAACTGTAGACACTTCAGCCATGGCTCCCAAGCGATTGGCCGATTTGACCCGTTTTTTCTCGCTGGAGAAGGCGGGCGTATCACCGTTCCACATCGTTCCACATCGTTCCACCACTCACCAGATTGCAGTGGTGCATGGATGTGCATGGTGCATCCATGGTGCATCCATGGTGCATCCATGTGCCTCGAGGCACGTGCAACTTTGGTGAGCGATGTGAAGCTGGACGATGCGCTTTGCTTGCGCCCAGATGCATTTAACAGTAGATCCCGTGCGGCAGATGTATGCAGAAACATTGCAGAACACAGCGAAGAGTAGCAGTGGACTTTTGGGCAATGCTGCTGCGTCTATTGAGGTGGGTCTTCTTGATGCAGAACTTTGCCCGGCCAGCACACCATGAAGTTGATATAGTGCCTTTGATTGATCAAATATGAACTGTATAATATCAGACCAATTGATGTGTCATGATGTGTCAAATTTATACATAATAACAATATTGAAAACAACAATAGATGCAGTAGTAACAATCATGAGAATATATACCTTACAAATCCAAAACCGAAGTTTTTCTAGGGTTTGCTCAAATACCGGGGTTCACACAAAAAAACCCGAGGTTTTCCGAAACCTCATTATCTTTGGAGGCTTTATTGTTATCTTGAATTCCATGCTAGATCAAGTCCCGCATGCAGAGGCGGTCTTTTCCCTGGCAAAGCTCACCGTTTTTTACACAGTTGGCCATGAGTTGGCTGGTACAACCACGCTTTTTTACACATCACCTCATTGAATTTCCAAAAGGTGATGTGTTTTCTGCCGATGCCCCTTTCCAAATCACGTTCAAATCTGTGAAAATCCAGTGAAATCTCCACCATCTAAACCCATACAGAAAGTACGGGTTACTGCGGGTAAAGTACGGGTTTAGTACGGGTTCAGTACGGGTTTGAAAAACCCGAGGTTTTTGCAGAAACCCAGGGTTTTCCCAGAAACACTACGGGTTAGTACAGGTTTAGTACGAGTTGAGTACGGGTTTGGAGCAAACCCGAACTTTTCCCCATCAAAATATGATAAATTAAATTAAGATAAAATAGGTATACAACTACCTCCTAAACTTGAATGTTGCTGGCTTGCATGGATTTGGTTACTGATGGTTACTGTATATTTTTCAATGATCACCCCATTAGTTATCTTCAATCCAAAAATATATCGTGCTACATCCCCGTGAGGAAACCCACAAATGGCTACAAAATGGAACCCGAACATTATCAAAAGTGGTTTGCCGAGGCCTGAGCAGAGGGCAAGGGAGAAACCCGAGGCTTCCTAACTCAACCCGAGGTTTTCTATGAATTCCTGAAATACCCGAGGATACCCGAGGTTTATATTCAAACCCAAGTCAGGGTTACGGTTTACTAGGTAGGTTTAGATATATCAAACACTATCAAACTAAAACAATCTAAAATCGCTTGCTAACTTTAAATCCGCCCACACCGCTTTGGCGGTGAAGGCGTGCTTATTGGGGGGCAACAGCAACACTAAATGCTCAATGACATTTGTTAATATAGCAGTCGCTATATCAGCTTTAGCTGGGGGGGGCCAAAAACGGTTTCGCACCGAGACCAGAATACGGTGGTGTTTTCGACATTTTTCGAGGATTTTTGGGTGTCTGAGCGCAAGAGGGTATTGAAATGGAATTTTGGGTCATTTTGGTAGCTTTCCGGCAATGGAAAAACGGCCAAAAATGAAAAAAACATTGTACATAGCAAGATTTTGCAGGGTTTTTGGATGCCAGAGCATTGAAAACACTGCAAAAACAAGTGTTTTGGACTGACGTTATAGCAAAAAACGTGTAAATTACCGTATGCTTGACTGGAAACATTACAAAAACACTGTCAAAAGCAATGTTTTGGAAGGATTTACTGCCTTTATGGCAAAAAACGTGTAAATTACCGTCTGTTTGACTGGAAACATTGGAAAAACACTGTCAAAAACAATGTTTTGGAAGGATTTCTTATATATATGTTGGAGTTGGCTACCGGCATTGGCACATGGAAAAATTGAAGAAAACACTGTAAATAGCGGTATTTTCAACGGTTGGGGAGATAAGGGAATTGGAAGCATTGTCGAACATGATGTTTTCGACCGGTTTTATGGCGACAAAAGTGTAAAGTACCGTGCTTTGAAGGAAACCATTGCAAAAACATGGAAACACATTCAAAGAACACGGGATTTGGGGGACTATCTAGGCGTCGTTGTCTAGCTATTTGAAATTCCGCAGCTTGGAGAGCCTCCAAGGGAGGGAAGGGAAAAGTGAAAATTCCCTAGCTTGGGAAGCCCCCACGGGGGGGAAAAGTGAAAATTCCCTAGCTTGGGGAGCCCCCACGGGGGGGAAAAGTGAAAATTCCCTAGCTTGGGGAGCCCCCACGGGGGGGGAAAGTGAAAATTCCCTAGCTTGGGGAGCCCCCACGCGGGGGAAAAGTGAAAATTCCCTAGCTTGGGGAGCCCCCACGGGGGGGAAAAGTGAAAATTCCCTAGCTTGGGGAGCCCCCACGGGGGGGAAAAGTGAAAATTCCTTAGCTTGGGGAGCCCCCACGGGGGGGGAAGTGAAAATTCTTAGCTTGGGGAGCCCCCATGGGGGAAAAGCACCCTTAGCCCCTCTCACGGACCGAAATAAACCTGCGGTGTGGGCGGCCACCCCACGCGAAGCGGGGTGAATACTCAGCTCGAAAACGTCAGGATTTGTATGTCACTGGTGTTCAAGATGGTGCAGCCGCAGTATGCTTGGCACAACACATCGGCAATGCGGTGTTTGAAGCTGCGAGAGCAGATGGGAGAAGTGCCTCAGCAGATTTCAGGAGGAACTATGATAGTTTTTTTCGCTTTTCCAGGCATCCTGTAGCATATATGTAGCATATATGTAGCAGTTGCCGTTTCAGGGTGGCCACTCACTATACCCACTTCAGATACCTGAGGCTTGTGCAAACTGAATTTTCGTGCCCTTGCTTCAAGACGTCCGGCTCGGGCAGCTCCACGTCATGAACAGGATACCTATGCTCCATACCGGGAAACATTGGCTGCAGCTTAAGCCCATGCTGTAACATCCCATAACTATCATCATGTATAAGTTGTATAAGTGTATACATCATATACATCTGTATACCTCATTTGAGGCACCCATCTCCAATCATATCTAATCTATATACATCTATATACCGCATACCCGTTTGCTGCCTTCCAATCTTGAACCAACGTTGTAAACATAGGTGATGAACCCGCCTAGGGCGCTGATTTGCACTTCCAATGAGGATAATGAGGGATGGTCACCTGGTCGCAGTCCAAGGATAACGCTTCCGGTTTTCCTCAAGCAGACGAGCGGCTGCTCTATTGGCAGGACCTGCCCAAAGAGGCCCACCTGATCCCAGGACCCAGGTGTAGATGCATTTAGTTAGACAGTTGGACATTCTTTCAGGTAGGAAGTTTATGGAAGTTTAGTGTTTCCAACTAATTGATCTAATTGTGAAATTTGTGAATGGTAGTGCTATCACCAAGAGGCTGTTTGATTTTACAGTAACAGTTGATGAAAATCCTTGATTTGAGAGGCTCGTTGTGCGGACTTCGTTGGCGTTATCGCCCAGTTCTTCAACTTTGAGGTGGTGAATCAGATGAAGTTCCTATAATTAGCTACTACCCTATAGGCCCTATAGGCAGCACAGACACGACATGATACGACACATGATGCTGTGTTGTGCGAATGTTGCTGTGGAGGTGGTGGATGATCAAGGTCAGATAAGTGCCTAGGCAGCCATGTTCTGTGGTTAATGTACGCCTGACACTCTGCAGATCAGAACAATAGGATTGTTGAACATGTCACATCATGTCAGACATCAGAAATCTGACAATCTTGTAATTTCAGATTGCTTTGAGGTGATGAACTCTTGGACTTCATTGTTCCCAATGCAAATGGGATTTTGGCGTTTCAAAGCGGCTTCAACACTCGTGTCTCCAGCAAGTTGGAGGAGACGTTGTGGCAAAGACTTTCCGTCAAGGCCGCGCGCACAGCGCTGCTGTTGTGAGTCTGTCTTGTATGGCGTCTAGCGATGGGGCAAAGATTTTAGCACCTATGCCAAGATACAGTCGAAGATTATCCAAGGTTGAGAAGGCTGGTGCCAAGATGGTTTTCATCAGCAACAGCTTCAGTTTCGACAAATCATCTGGGAAGTCTGGCACAGCACCTCCCGATGCAATCTTTCTGCAAAAACTATTGGAACGCAACCAGCAGCTTTGGACGCTTGGCATCTACTGCTTGCTCTGTGAAAGTGCGTGATGCATTTGGTGAAGATGTTTGAACTATCACCAGTCAATTGCAAGCTTCTGGAGCGTCATCCAAGGAGCCACTTGCGAGATGCCGGGCTCAAGGAATCTGGCAGATTTGCCGTGGACCAAATGGCCAAATGGCTCAGTGGTACCCCGATGCCAGGCATCACAGCGATCAGCTGAGAATTCTTCATTGCTTCAATTGCTCCAATTGCTCCAATTGCTCCAATCTCCATCCACTTTGTTTTTGGTCAGGCGTGGATTACTCCGCGGGCCTTGGCTCGGGCATCGCTGAAATCAAGGGCAGGTATGGATTTCCTGAAGGATCCCAACAGGAGGATGTGCCCTCGGAATTGGGTGATTGCCAGCTGTCTATTATTCTCTATTAGTTCAAGATAGTTCAAGATAGTTCAAGATAGTTCAAGATAGTTCAAGATAGTTCAAGATAGTTCAAGATCCGGTCACGCCAAGGTGAGTGAATACCTGCTCAAGCGCTTTCTCAGCGAACGCAACTCTTCACCTGAGGCCTGGAAGTCTCATTCAACATTTCAACCTGGCAACACCAGCATCATGGATCCACTGAGAGACAGAGATCGCAATCTGGAGGCCACAAATCCAGTGCTTTCTGCTTGCCGCAACTTGGCAGCAGCTTGAGCCTCGGCGTTGGTTTTGGGATGGGATGTGCTGCAGGTGACCTACATGCAGCGGCAACTGCAGCATGTGGATCGGAGCTTGCTGTCTCTCAGCTTTGAAGCCAGGGATAGCCGGAATTTTTACTCTACTGGAAGAATCTTAACAGTACAAACATGATCAATGAGGACTATAAATAATGAATGATTGATTAGTGAGAATGCGGTTTTTGTTCAGGAACTGTACTGAACAACATGATCCTACTATGCAGCATTTGCTCAAACGAAGACACATGGCACGAAGTCCCCTTCTTCCGTCCTTCAGCAAGTTTTGACACGCACCAAAACAGCAGAGAGAGAGACAGAGAGAGAGAGGGAGAGAGAGAGAGAGATGTTCGTGCAACAAGGTCAGCCCAAGGGCTGTTTTGATGTCAAGTAATTTAGGACAACTGCCAGAATATAATGCGTTATAATCATTTATAATTTATAATCCCATTTGCAGAGATGAATGATAGTGTTGATACTTGATTTTGCTCCGCAAGTGTTACTGGGCGACCATTGTTCAATCCATGTAAGGCCCAATTCCAGAGCTGTCGCATGCATGGAAACAGACGCTGGTAGGCCTGACTGCGGGTCAGACCTGATGAATTTTGCATGAAATTGCATATGATTTCAGGACATTTCTGGCTCCAAATACACCAAAAAAAAAAAGAAAGCATGCGCAGAACACTTTTTGGCCATGAAGCCAACGCATCTCCAACGCATTTCCCATAGACTTTGTGTTTGGTTTTAATGAAACACATGTCCTTGGGCATTTGCTGCACAGGGAGTTTGCTTCGCTGATGGATCAGAATCTCCAAGAAAAAACATGAATCCACCTCGACATCCCGAAATTTCATGGCACGGATGAGGCTCAGCAAGGTGCCACCGCCTTCCACCAGCGGAACCAGAAATTCTGCGACATCATTTCAAGCGTTTGATGGTGCTCAGCGTGCAGCGTGCAGTTGGCTTGACATTGACATTGACAACTCCATCAAGCTCCGAGTACATTGAAGATTTCCATCAAAACACTGTGGAAACAACCGTTGATGTATTGATTGGTGCCGGTCCCAATCCCCAAAAGCGTGAATCACTTCTGAGGGTTCGTGCTAAGAAGGATGACTTTCTGAAGCCCATGGCTTTTGATTTCCCAGCGCTCCAACGGGGAAACAATGGAAACGTGCAGGGCCAACAGGTGCGAATCTACGTTCATAGCGTCCCAAATTGTGCCGGAGAGGAGCTGTTGGAGTTTTTCACTCAGTCAGATCAGTCAGACCGAGGCTTTGGCTGGGATCGAGCTGTTCAACTACATGCATTGCATATCAAGTCTGTACATCAAGCCATTTTGAGTTCCACAAATCGCGTAGATAGTCCTGAGGAGGCCACCACATTTTATATCCCGGCATTTTTTAGCTTGCTGGTTGAGCGCTACATCGACTCGGATATGAAGAGCCTTGACGCCTTGAACTGTATTGCAGACTCATGGAATCGACTTCCGCGCGAATTCTTCCTCCGCAATGCGGGCTATGATCATTTCGTAGTCGCTGGGACATGCTTTCCATACTCCGTTTGCCCAGCTCTAGAATGCGATGTCACAGCCTTCCATCCATTTGCCAGGAATGTGATGGCACTGGTGGGTGGAGTGCGAGACATTGGTCATCCAGATTTTGCATTCACACGAGGGGCAGCTTTTCAAAGATTAAGCACCATATTGGTCCCGTTCCCTGTGACCTTGGACTGTGAGAGACTGGTGAAGCTGGCGGACAGAAAACGACATCTGGTTGCTTCATTTGTGGGCACTGACAACTCACGTGTTCGTTCTGTCTTCGGATCTCTCATTGAAATCTTTGAAGGCGAAGTGTCCGAATCGGAGAATGCGCGCTCGAAATTTCATATCAAGATTCTACAGGACTCAGTCGGCGAAGATGGCGAGGCAGCACGAAAAGCTACCTTGGCAGAGGATGGAGGTCGTCCAATTGACGATTTGTATGCTGATTCCGAATTTTGCCTGGTGCTTCCCGGGCATGTGTATGATCTTGGTCGTCGAGCATATGATGCAATGGCTCGGGCATGCATCCCTGTAATCGTGGCTATGGATCCAATGTTTGTGAGTGTTCCTTTTGCTGGGCAGATTCCTTGGGAAGACTTTGCCATTTTTGCATTTGTGCGGCATCAAGGGGATGCAGCTGGTGTACTGGAATCGTTGTTTCAAGCTACCCAGACCGAAGAGGGCAAAGCTGCAATCAGAAGCAGGCGCGCAACAATGATGCGTTATATTTCACGGCTGTTTCTACCGCCACTTACGAACTGCCTTCCTGGTTTGCCAACTGCCTTAGATGGTATCCTAACCGAGTTGGCCGGACGACAAGCAGCTTGGTCTCTGATTTCCACTGTCAGGCCAGGGAATTTGCCATCACCTGGACAGATTGCCGTATAAGATGCAGAGAGCAAAAAGAAGCAAACAATTTACAAGCCGGAAGGACATACATTTGTCATGGTTTGTCAGTGCTGTTTGTTTTCATGATGGCATTACATCAATGTCAATGTATACAATTGTATCCTACTGCTGGATACTGCTGGTAATTACTAGTCGTGAGAATTGTTCTGTGCAGTGTGGCCTACTCTACCAACAAAAATGTCCTATGCTTCTGAGGATTACTTGGGGCGTGCAGCGACAAATCTTGAAGCTCAGCTCAATTTAAATTATATAGCATCTCGGGTCTTAGCTTTGCTGTTTTTTTTCAGGCAAGTTGTGTAAAAGTATTTGGAAAAGGACTTCATGGCGTTCTTGTCGCTTTACCACTCTTTACCTATGCCGACCCTGAGGAGAAATTCGGCAAGACACTTGAAATTACGGATGGGCAGCATTTTGCAACCCTTTTGCAGGCCAAGGCCAGCACAGCACACTTGCATACGCTTGCTTTCACATGAAGTTTCCATAATAAGTTTCCGGTCTTTTGCAGCACAGCAATGCAGCAGGTGCCAGTGCTGGAGCCATGCCAATTGGTTTGCAAGGATAGTCCAATGCAGCCTCAGTTCACGGTTCCTTGGCCTGACATGATCTGAGATTCAGTGGCCGGTGTGTTTCCAAATATGCTACTGAAGAAGTTAGCCACCTGACATCCCTTGACATCCCTTGACATCCCTTGACCCAGTGGCACTCAGTGGCAGCAATAGTTTTTGGCGCTTCAGATTTCAGGAGGGCGCCACCTCTGACACAACGCCTGTGACGTGCCTCGGCTCAAGTGTGAGCTAGTGGTCATGACTGGACATCATCGGAGTACGCCAGGTGGGCAGTTCGCGGAGTAAATGTTCCCCAATCCTTGGGATGGTTAGCCGCTTGCCTGCACTGTAACTGAGCACTTCTTGATGTGCTGGGAAATTGATGGAAATTGTATAAAATTGTGAGGTTCTGAGTCCTAGGAAGTTCTATCAAGCTGGCAGAACTACAGCAAGTTGAGAATTACAGCTCGTCTCAGTGTTGCAGGAAAAGGCTATTGCCCTTGCAGCATGAAAAGAGTTGCAGAGAGAAAATATTGGCTCTTGCAGAAGTGATTCGGAAGGGTTGAAGGAGTTGACTCCAGGATTTGCACCTAAAGACAACAGATACAACAGTATGGCCACGCCAAGTCTCACATGTCTCATGGTTGATGTTGCAACGGCCAGGATTGTGCTGGGCAGTGAGGTGGAATGCGAAGCCAATTGTGGGCAAGAGCAGCTGGACCTGCTCAGGTGTGGCACATTTGTGCCAGACACACACACACATACACTAGCGGCACTAGCGCTATCTAGCGCTTTGTTTGATTTACCCCCATTCCAGGGGTTTGTTTGGCAGGCGTTTCCACCTGGGCATTCCAGCTTTGCTTGGACAAGGCAGCTTGTGGTTGAATCTCACCTCAAGTTTTGGTCCCACTGCCAAGTCTTGCAAGAACCGATTTATTGAATTACTGCAGAATTCCAATAAAGACTGTGTTAAAACATGCAGGGGAACGGCACGAGGGAACGCGTAGGGGCTCAAACGAAAGTGGGCGAAAGTTTGGAGGAGTTAACAGTTAAGGAGCTCGCCCTCCTTTGAAAGATCTAAAGCCACAAGCATGCATGTCATTCAAATTCATTGCGGGCCATCAATTCGTGCACGTAACTTGATGGTTCAAGCAAGCTCCCAGCGAGCTGCCGCGCCGAATCTGGGGCTGTTTGGATGCAACGGGGTGCACTGCCAAAATATCCAAAATCTTCCAGCAGTCCATCCCTGACACAGCTTTCATGGGCACGATCGAGGCCGAATGATGCCCTCCTGGGCTCTGTGCGTTCATGCTCAGGTGGATGGACCAACGCCACATCAACCAGAAAAAATGTGAGCAAAATCGGTCCACAACCAGCACCAATCCAAATGCCTCCCATGCAGCAAAATCAGCAACTTCCTGTGAATTCGGCTCCAGTCTCTCAGTCCTCCCCCGAGAGGGAAATCTTCACGTTCACTGCATCCAAAATTAGTCGCCAAGCAGCTGGTGCTCAAGGCACTGGGCCGCATCGAGTTAGATGCTTCGAAGATCGAATGCTTGTGACTCAGATGACTCAGCAACTTGGAAATGTCGCACTCCCTTTTAAGCAAATCACTCATGCAGAACTGGATGGCAAGAGTTGTTCCATCAAATTGCATTTGGGAACAAGTGGAATTGGTGGCGCTGATGCCGGGACACAGCAATTTCCGCCCGGCTTTTTGAGAATAGAGCTGCAAAATGCAGCTGATTTAGCCATGCTGCAGCAAGCAGTTTGGCCAACATTAGTGCGATCACTTCTAAGACCTGGTGGGAATAGATCCCTTTTCGGCCGCACCTGTGGACCTTCTTTGGTTTGGTCTCACGTTTGAGTTGCAAAGCACTCTTGACAAAATTCGGCCGCTTGCGGACTTTGACCATGAATGTTGATGAATCTTGATGAATCTTGCAATCACATCACCTTCTTCAAAGGGTGCTGCTTTGGAGGATTTTGGAGCCCAAACACGTCGAAGACTTTTCTGGGCGGTTTGTTGTTGAAAAAGGGATCATTTCAAGCATAGTGGCTGATGTCGAGCAGGATCGCGGCAGAGGGAAAAATCCGGAAAATTATGAAATATTATAAAAAACATAGTCTTTGGAGCTTTTATCAGGAAAAAGTTAGCTTTTTGTACTTGGTTAGTTTTTCTTAGCCTTTGCTGGATTTGGCTAGCATTTGTTAGCCTTTGTGAAGGTGATATTGCTTTATTGCCTTTGTGAAGGTTGTTTGGTTTTGCTCTTAGGCCCAACACAGTGGGATAATGCGGCAGGAGACAAAATAAAAGTCAGGGATTTGACCAGGAAAGGACCAGGAAAAACGTCGGATTATTTAGCTTTGACTGGCTTTGACTTGGAATGGCCTAGGACAAAATACTGGGTCAAAGTGGTAACTTATGCCGCGGTCATCTTCTTGTGCCGCAAACGGTGTGCCGTTGGGAAGTCCATGATATACATGTCATTCTTGCTGGATGAATCAATTGTTTGTGGCATTGATTTTTCTAACACTTTACAGGGGCACACATGTTTTTGAGACATATTCTTCTTGAGATAGAAACTCATGGGGATGGCTTCTCAATAGCTTGACTCGCACAGAAGAGAGAACAGTAGAAGAGAAGAGTAAAGTAGAAGAGACTATGTACAGAAGAGTAGAGAAGAGAATCGAATTGAAGAGTAGACGTGATTAGAGAGGCCTAGAGCAGAGAAGGGAAGAGTAGAAAAGATCCCTGCAGCCTTGCCCTGCTGCCTTGCCTTTCAAAATCCAGATCTCGTACAGATCTCGTAAAGACCTCGTAAGGATCTCGTAAAAATAAAGCAATGAGAATGACATGTAGAACTCCTGGTCTTCTAGAGGTCAAGTTGATGGTGTGCCATGCGGTTTACAACGCTTTGTGTCAGGTTTAAGACAGATAAACGGTACAAAGCGTTGCAGTCCGCATAGGAACTTCATGAAAACAATGTGCACATACAGGGATCGGCAAAGTGATCGGCTGCAGAAAGAAAACTGTTACCTGAGTACTTGGATGTACTCGGTGTGCCAATGGGGAAAACCATCATGGATGACATTCTTAGAGATTAAATATGTTGTTCCGACAATGGGAATTACATCTGAGAATTTGGGTTGATAGAAAACAATTTGTAGGTGTGCCATGCGTTCCTTGACATTTGGGGTGAGGTCAAGGAATTCACGAACTGATGTAAAATGTACCAAATCCCTTAGGAAAATAACAAACCAATCCAAAAACCTGTCCGTGAGGGCCGGTGTGCCATGGTGATTTGCACATGGCGTAAGTTCTTGGGGTCGTGGGGTAAGCGGTGTGCCATGCGGTGGGGTAAGTTCATAAATTTTGGGGCAAGTTACCCCCCGGACTCGTAGTTCCCCAAACAGTGTGTCCACACTGAGTTGTTCTTACGGTAATATAAAGGCCGGTGCTTGATCAGGGTGCTCACTCTGGGCGCCGGCATTTTTTCCCGTAACAATTTCCGTCTAACTCTTGTGAAATCTTGACATGCGTTTCGACTGTGCAGGCTCGCACAAAGTCTGCGCCGCGGTTTTGGGGCGCGGCAATTTTCCTTTAAATTTCCGTATGAAGTGGCTCTTGTGAAATCTTGGCATGTGTTTCGACTGCGCAGGCTCGCACAAAATGTGTGTCCGCGTTCTGGGCTCATTCTGGGGCGCGGCTTTTTTCTTTTAAATTTCCGATGTTGACGTGCATTTCGATAGTGCAGGCTCGCACTAAATGTGCGTCCGCGTTCTGGGCTCAATCTGGGGAGCGGCATTTTTCTTGTCTATTTCCGTATAGGGTGGGTCTTCTCAAATGTTGACGTGCATTTCGACTGCGCAGGCTGGCACAATGTGTGTGTGTCCGCGTTCTGGGCTCAATCTGGGCCGCGGCATTTTTCCCGTAAATTTCCGTGTAAAATGGCTCTTGTGAAATGTTGACCTGCATTTCGACTGGGTAGGCTCGCGCAAGGTTGCGCCGCGGTATAGAGATCTCGTCCAGGTGGTCTTGCCAAGACACCTCTTACAGAGATCTGCGCAGAGGTCTTGCCAGGTCTCTTGCATAAATCTTGCCAAGTGAACTCTTCTAGAGAGCCTGTGCAGAGGTTTCACATAGAGATCTTGTATATCTTGTATAGAGATCTTGTATAGAGATCTTGCCAGGACACCTCTTATGGAGACCTTGTACAGAGACATTGCATAGAGATCCTGCTGCAGAGATCTTGCCAAGAGGTCTCTTACATAAATCTTGCCAAGAGAGCTTTTATAGAGGGCTTGTACAGAGATCGCAGAAAGAGATCTTGCCAAGAGATCTCTTATAGAGATCTTGTCTTGCCCAGGAGGTCTTGCCAAGACACCTCTTACAGAGATCTGTTCAGAGCTTGCCATCAGGTCTCTTACAGGGATCTTGCCAACAGAGCTCTTTTAAAGATCTTGTACAGAGATCTTGCCAGGAGACCTCTTATGGAGATCTTGTGCAGAGACCCGGTGAAGAGATCAGAGGCCTTGCTTGGAGATCACTGATAGGTAGTTGGAACCGAGATTTTACTCTTTGAGATCCCTTACAAAGATCTTTTGTGGAGATCTCCCATAGACACCTTGTACATATAGCATTACACAGGGATCTTGCACAGCAGCTTCTACAGAGAACCTGTCAAGGAGATCTTGCGCACGATCTTCTACAGAGATCTTCACACAGGGAACTTGCAGAATCTCACCTGGTATCTCTTCTTTTCACTACTAGGGTCCCTCTTGCCCTGCTAGCTTGCACCCACTGATGCTTGTAGGCCCTTCACGCCTTTCCTCTACCTTTACATCCTCAACTTCATCTTCCGCATAATCATCCTCATCCTCATCCTCATCCTCCTTGACATCATCATCCTCCACATCATCATCCTCCACCTCCTCTTCCGCAACATCATCCTCCTCCACCTCATCTTCCGCAACATTATCATCCTCAACATCATCCTCTGCAACATTTTCCTCATCATCATCATCATCATCATCACCTACATCGTCACACATTATCCTCCCACTCCCCCACACTGTTTGGGGTCTCTGGCCGGGATGATAAAAAAAGGTTATCTTAGTTTGGCAAAGAATTCAGCTGGATCCATCAGAATCTTTGAGTAGACCGCGTATTTCAGAGCAGCACTGTTTAGAGCAGCACGTGATGTAATGAAAAGTGGAGATAGGGCAGCGTTGCTCTGCGTGTTTTGCCCGTTATTCGACGTTCTTCTGGTATGTTCTGGTGCAGGAGCGTTGCCAAGCTTCCGGGCCTCGAGCGTGTCTTGGGAGGCGGTCGACCAAACATCAGATTGGAACCTGGGATGTTTACTTCAATCATTAATGAGTTTAATTCGGGTGTACTGGCATTGATCGGTTTTAGTTTGCGGAGGCATGCTGGACCCAATTGGTCTTTACAATCAGCAGATGGAGGTCTTGACACTCAACTTTGAAAGAGCACAAAGGAAGTGCCTTCAAGATGCCACAGAAAAAAAAAAACACACCAAAAATTCAAAGACGAAGTTGTAACAACGGACGAAGATGATGGTCGGATCGGTTTGGGTCTCCAGCTGGGGATCAACCCAAAACAGTGAGAAGTGCTTGCATTTCATATATTTTTTGAAACACTCTGGGCATTATTGGACTATCACGAGTTGTGGAAAGGTATGAAGAATGCACGTGGACGCATGGTGTTGGTGCAGGTGATTGATGCCTTCCCGTTTCCAGAGTCCTGCGCTGAGAAAGCTCTGGTATCTCTGGTTGCGCGTGCTGCAGACAGATCCAAGGTCAGGGCGGGAAGCACGGGTTCCGCACTGAGAGGATCGGAATGCAAATGACATGCAGCCATAAAGATAAAGAAATGATAAGAAATGTCCGCATGGAGGGCGCAGACAAGAATAAATAATAATAAATAAGAAATATAAAATAATATAAAATAATATAAAGAGCATCCATATCAGAATATATCAGAATATCACCCGAAACAGTAAACGTGCTCCAGTCTTGAGCCTTGGCATGTTTAGGTTTGATATGGTGACAGAGACAATAGAGATATGATCTGGAATGTCGTCCAAGGTCATCATTTCTCCCATCCGCACTGCAGCAACTCGCTTTGACATGGTGCTGAGGGTGCTCGAAGTGTCTACTGGTTATCCACAGTTATCCAATACTATCCAGCTGATTTCATTATGGTGCACAGCAGGTTGCCCGGTCTCTTGAAAGATGTTGCAACCAAAGTTTCGGCTCAACGCTATGAGTTTGTAGGACGGGTGTGCGTAATGTGCGGCTAAATATCCAGATATGAGCGACAAGAAGTGGGGCTTTGCGGAAAACTATGCTCATCGGCACCTGCCCTACAAGTGGCATCATGCAGGTAGCTGGCGCAGCTGGCAGCTGGCTGGCTTTTCTAGGAAGGGGTATGATGGGGTGTAGTGAAGCTTCTTTTGAAACATGTTTATTCTTTCCTGGTCCGTGCGGGGGCGTTTCAAAGTTTCACAGTTCGTTGGGATTCACGGGTGTAGGATTCTGATGGTCGACTCCAGCTCTGACAGGCTACACACTGTATGACCCCAATCCGCTCACGAAGACCTCCTTCAGACCTTCGTCCATGCCAGCATATCGTGACGATTTCCAACCACTAGGGACTGCCTATGGTGAACGGCCACAAGGAGTTCGATGGGCTATGTCTTGCCATTGGCCAAGCAATACGATTGCCTCGGATGTGGTGGGCAAATCATAGAAAATCATTGTAAATCTAGCTTTTGGATCTTTTGGATGCTGCTTCATGTTTTTGGTGACGGCGCCTATAAGAGGCCGTGCGCGTGTGTCATTTTTCCTGTGTCTACATTTCCGGTCTGTTCCTTTGACGGTCTCTACATTTCCTTTACACATTCCTCTATGTTTGTTCTTTTGTACCTGTTTGATGCAAGGCATGTGGGTGGGGTGGGGTGGGGTGGGGTGGGGGGGATGTTGATGTTCACGTTCGCTGTCACGCCATTGACAATGTTGTTTCGTCTGTGTCTGTTTCCTCGTGTACCTGTCTGATGGGTGGGGTGGGGTGGGGGGGGGGGTGGGGGGGATGTTCACGTTCGCTGTCACGCCATTGACAATGTTGTTCGTCTGTGTCTGTTCCTCGTGTACCTGTCTGATGGGGGGTGGGTGGGGTGGGGTGGTGGGGGGGATGTTCACGTTCGCTGTCACGCCATTGACAATGTTGTTTCGTCTGTGTCTGTTCCTCGTGTACCTGTCTGATGGGTTGGGTGGGGTGGGGTGGGGGGTGGGGGGGATGTTCACGTTCGCTGTCACGCCATTGACAATGTTGTTTCGTCTGTGTCTGTTGTTCCTCATGTTCGCTGTCACGCCATTGACATCTTACTTTGCGCTTATATATTGACGCCGTCACCGAAGTATGCATATTCTTTCGTAACATAATCACTTTTGAATACGATTTTATACTATTTTATACTTTAAGCTCTGGATCTAGGTTTTTTCTTCTGTTTTCTTCTGTTGGTCATTGTGGCAAGCTTTGGCAGAAGAGTGCCGAAAAAAAAGCACTTGAAACTTCAGGCGCGCCGGCAAAGAGTTAAAAAAGTGATGAAAATGCTGCGAGGGGTTCCAAAAACGCATGTCCTCGGTCAGCCTTACAGTGTTTTATGCTCTAGATTCATGATGGACTTCAATCAGAATGTGCAAAAACCTTGGGTTTTTGAAGCAATTGATTTCATCGGAGCAAATGCAATGAACATAAACGCACGGCCTCTTACAGGCGCCGTCACCATGTTTTTGCCTGTGCTGACTCTTGCCAGACTGGGTCATATTGTGCAAACAAAATGCCATGTGGCAAACACTGAGGCTATGGATGTCATCGCAACCCTGCCTGGGACGAGACTTTGCGTCTTCCGCGAAATCCATTTCCAGGCAGTCGAGCTAGAGAGATGACATACTTGCGAGAGTTCGCAGAGATAGGAGTGGCAACCTGCCCTTCGCCCTCCACGCCACTTGGTGTAGGCTTTGTGAGTTAAGTGGGCACTTAGATGATCTTAGATGCCTCTTTTTGATTCTTTTTGCTTGATTGCACTATGTTGCACTCGACTTCACCCATTCGCATCTGCTATGAAAACGTTGAAACAGGTGATCACAGAAGATACAGAAGGAACTTAGCTGAGGCCTCGCCCTGTGAAAATGCGACCCTTTTCAGCTCCACCTGGGAGACCACAGAGTTCCAGGACATTTGCTGAACATGAGGGTTAAAAACGGTTAGCGAGTGAAATGAAAAATGTTGGCAAGTTCTTTTGTAAAATTTTGTAAATGATGGATGGATGAAGTAAAACTGACCGGAGCTTTGACAAGTATCCATTTGGCAAACTAAGAAACTATACATGTTCGAACTCAGTCATTGTGCGAGGAGGGCACGTCAGGCAGTGGCTTGGGCGCAGTGGTGATTGTAACACAGACTTGATGAGCATGTGTGTGTGTGTGTTTGTGTGTGTGTCCAATAGACAAATGATGGCAAAGAGGAAACGAAGAAAACATGGAATCTCTTGCAGTCGTGACAGGTGATGGCCTTGCCAATCTTTGGGCACTGTGATTCAAAATTGTTGAAAAAACGTCATGATTCATGATGCTTTATTGCCGTTTGGCGATCCCCTTCTACCTTGTTCTTTTTTGTTTTGCCACTCGCTGTCCTGCTTATAACAGCAGCAAGACTTCAGTAGGCTAAAGGCCAGTTGTGAACAGACGTGTTTTTTCAGCGACCATCGCCCAGAGAAGGCACGCCCCGCATCATTTGGTAAATGGGAAACTTGGTGTTTGCACTTGGCAACATTGTGCTTCGTTTGCCTGGGACTGTCACATGCTTGCTTGATCTTTTCATGAGGATTGGAGCTAATAGGAATCCTGCTCTTGTCTGCACCACTTCTAGGTGGACTGACCTGAGCATTTCTGATTAGCATGAGGTCCGGTATGCTTAGATTTGCTGCCAGTGGTGGCTAATTCGAGATTTTTTGAGATTTTGAGATCCATCGTTTGTCATGTGGGCCCCATGTGTCAACTTCAAGCTGGGAAAATGCTGGTCTGGAGAGTTTCGAAATCTCGACCTATCTCGACTTGTGGTCGCCCTGCTTTTTCTGCAAAGTGCACGCAGTGGCCTCTAGTTCATTCCTCATTCGGCGAAGGGACTGTCCCTGCCATAGGGCTGTAGATTCTGATGCAACTGCTCCGTAGCAAATAAACTATCGATCTACGGTCTACGGCATTTTTGTTTTCGAAGAAAACAAGTGAGCCAAGTCAAGTCAAACTCGTTTTTTTGGCTGTGGCGAAGTCTAGCGGCGTTTAGCAGTTGCACGGGTTTTTTGTGGCCTGCTCATTGATATCAAGCGGTATCTAGACCTGGTGCCAGGCAACACGACTTTGTTTCTTGATATTACTTGAGCACCTGTCCTTCTTTTTGGAAACAATATCACGCTTGCACCCTCCCGATGTCGAGTTATGTTGTTTGGCAGCGATTGTGTCCAGAGGATGCGTTGCATTTTCTGAGAAGCTTCCACTATAGAGAAGAAGCACGAAGTATTGCAAAATGCGCGAGTTTTTGACGAATGTACAAAGCTCGTCAGAGCAAGCAACTGTCTTGTTCTGCCCAGGAAGGTGCGAAGGTGGTAATTAAATACCTCTAGGTTGGCTAAGCCATCCATATCCAGAGGCGGATAGTTGCTAAGCATGAAGGCGTGGGAAAATCCTTCCTGATAAAATGTTCGTTCCATTCATGGCTGGCAGCAACATCATGGTTTCAAAATGTTTCAAACAGCGTTGGTTTTCCTTCAGTTCTTAGAGTGAGGGCTAAGTCACCCTTTCATCCCCAACAGCCATGCACACAGAAGAGAAGAATTAAGCGTAGTTCATTTCGTATTGCTGAGTGTTCGTTCTTGTGCATTCTTGCAATTATTGCACATGTTGTATTTACGCAGCTGTTTTTGGCCAAAAAGTACAGAAGCTGGGGGAGCCATGTGCGACACCAAGTGGGGTTTCAACACGAATTACGGGCATCGCACCCTACCTTTCAAGTGGCAGTCCTCGAACGGCTTCCATTTCTATGAGGACAAAGCAGTTGGCAGCTTCAGTGTGTGTGTGTGTGTGGTCTTACTTTCCCCAGCACTGCAATTGGGAAGAGAGCGATAGAGAAGGAGAGTTTGGCGTGTACAATTTTTTGCGTAAAGCGTGAAGCCCGGAAAGATCCAAATTCCAGATGCAGAGTTTCAAGACTGATCAATCTGGAGGAGAGTCCTCTCACGAAGAAGAACTTCCGGCCAGCACACTTGCCAGCTCTTCGGGAGGATTCCTGAATGTTATGCCATGTTTATGCTGTGGGTAGATGTGCGTGTGTGCGTGTGTGTGTGTGTGCGCGATAGTTCTGCAGCAATCTTTCCATGGTCCATGCAGGTAGTTTGGACCGTCTTGAAGGCACACTAGTATAGTTTCCTGACCATCACAAAGTAAAGGCTAGCATAGGCTAGCACAATGTGGCACAGGTAGCAACAATGCACTTTTTGAAGGCCCAGGGATATTGGGGCATTCCATATGTTCCTTGTCCCACGGTCCTGACAAATAAAGCAGAATCGTGTTGGCACGGGGGTGAGCTTACTCTGAGCAAAGGACTTCCTGCCCATGACAACACACTACGGAGAGCGCGGACAAGACAAACGCTGGGCAATGTCGGGATGCTTGACTATGGTGGGTGAAGAGCTGTGTATTTGAAGTTCGTTCGAGCCAAAGGGAATTTTGATGAATTTTGTAACTTGTTTCTATCCCATCAGCCAGAATCACTAGTCTTCCTTCATACGCATCTACACTAAATTGATGAACAATTACACAATCTCAATCGGATCTAATTGGGGGGATTGGGTGACAGCAGATGACAGCAGCCTCCAATTCCAAGCTTCTATATGCGCGTGATTGGAGTAGTTGTTGATTGGTCTTGATTAAGTATGACTAATTATGTGTGCTTTTGAGGGTGCTTGACCATGAGTTCACCACCAGCTTGTTCTCTCCGAGGATATGGGTGCCATCGCAACCTCATTTGGGATGAGTCGCTGCGTATGCCGCGAAATCCGTTCGCCGGAAAGCCCAATCGAGAGATGACATACATCAAGGAGGTCCCTTTGTCAACGCTGCTTGGCTGCTCCCAGCTCATTCCAACAATCAACAATCTATTGCCCAAATTGAAGTCCTTGAGATCCTTGAGCGGTCAGAATTCATTGGACTCAAAAAGTGTGGTTTTGCATAGTTTTGCACACACCCCAGCAACTAACGACATCCAACGGACAATCAGCATGATGATGGTGCTACATTGTTCAAGGCCCCGAAGGCTTGCACAGTGGGACATGCAGCGCACCATGCGCGGCGCATCCACGCCGCGGAAGAATTTCACGCCGATGCTGCCTGCCTCTTTACAGCAAACAGGGGAAATAGATATGGACATAGGATATTAAATAGGATAAGGGAAGACCAGAAGGACCGGGAATGGACTAGGACGTGGCGTGACCAGGACGCCAAAACGCATGAATACAAAACATCTGTATGTCCTTTCCGAGCGAGCTCATCTTTCATATCAATGCCAGAACCTCTTTAATCTCAGTGAAGATAGCAGAATGGCAAGTCAGTTGAGTGGAAATAGTGCGAGTTCTCCAGCCTTCAATTCAAGTCGGTCAGGTTGATGACTTGTTGGGCCATGAGAATCATATGAGCTGTTCATTATGAGCTCATATGAATTCATCCTGCTTTTGATCAGGATTTGCACAGTGGCTTGACATGGGTATACAATCTGATACCATCTGTAAACCTTGACCCTGCAAAGGAACTGAATCAGAGACATCGAGATGCAACTGCCTCAGATCCCTGACAGCCTGATTTGCATTTGGCGTTGTCACGTTGTCGGTGCTTTGAGTTCCTTGGGGTCGAAATCCAGGTGCTGGACAAGTCAGCAGATGAGCTTGCTCAAATGATGAAGCTTTTTGAGGAGCCATCCGTTCTCGCCTTTCATGGTCCAGTGATGTCCAGTGCGTTGCTGTTTTCCATCTTGTTGGATCTCAAGGGGGTAAATTGTGTCTGAAAGCTCTTGGACGCACAGGTCACGAAAGCTACTCGAGCCTCAGCTTGCTGAAGTTGCTCATGGTTTAGTAAGGTTAAAGGAGGGGCAGAGGTATCCAGTCACTTTAAACGTTAAACCATATGATAACTTCATATATTTCAGGATGACTTATACTGTCCCTCTTCCGCCTTCCCCCCGGGCAAGTAACCCAACGCGCAGGGGCTCGATTCTCGATTCCCCCTAGGACCGTTTTATCGGAATGATGTTGTCTGTGGTCTGTTCCTCGTCTCACCTTCGCGGACAAGAAAATAGTCTTCTTCTTCTTCTTTTTCTTCTTCATCATCATCATCATCCTCGTCGTCGCCATCGCCATCACTTTCACCACCATGATAATGATGATAATGGTTATTGCCACCATGCGCTCTGAATTCTGCATAGTTGTTCTTTGCTCCACTGATGATTTATTTCAACATATTTCAACCATTCTCCACCTATCTCAGCCTGATTGCTCAGTCTGAGCTCCACCCTTACTCTTACCTATGGCCTCAAGCTTGATATGGTCTGATGCCCATGTTTTTAAATGAGTTTTTTTTTTGCGTTGAAACAGGTATTGACAGAGCCATTGCCGGGCCAGGACTAGCCGTGGAGCTGCAGACGGCCGGACCAAACCTTCACCTGGAAGGCTGACGGCAGTTTCAATGATTTTGACATCTAGCTCCTAGGTGATGCAGTGGTAATGCTGGATCACACCAGTCAAAATCACAGCCTTGATATGCCTTGATCTTGTGGAATATCATATAATATCATATAATATCATCCATGTTGTTCATTGTTTGTCATTGTTTGTCTATGTCTTCTCATGTCTTCTCATTTTTTTCATTTGGGAGAGTGTGGAGGGTGAACCAGCTGCCAGAAATCGTGTGAGCTGGGCCTTTGAGGACCCAGCCAGGCCAGTAGGAATGTAGAAAGACGCACGCACAGCCGCACAGCATTGCAAAGTAAGCTGAGCATTCGCCTGCGTCAATCCTCGTCAATCCTCGTCAATCCACAAACCCATTTTGTGGCTGTTTCTATCTCGCCGGTTTTCGGAAATTTCTTTGTTTTGCACACGGGCGTTCAGACGGCCCCACAGCCGCAGCATACATACACGTGAAACGTTTTGTATGCGTTCGCCCTTCATCACTCTAAGCAGTTTTTGAACATCTTTGAAGGCTTTGTCCTTCATGATTTGCAGCTCGGCACCCATGCTCAGCATGTAGTCAGTTTTAAAGCTTGAGAAAAGATGAAACGAGCCGATCCCACTCATATCATACTGATAATATTCTGATAATTATCCTTATTTTCTGCTCACTTGTCAACTTATGTTCTAGTGGGCCTGTGTCGATAGGTGTCGGGCTAGATCAGGCCTTAGTCAATGTTGGTCAGCACTCCAGTCCAAAGGCTGCGCATCCCTCCACCATAGTTGCTGTGAATTTTGTGAGAAGAACAAAGGGCGAGGTATGTGCAGGCCAATTCCGCAGCTAGTAGATTGGAAAACCAAAGTTTAAAGTCCAATCTGGTTGGCCACATAGCAATGGAAGCCTAAGTTAGCCATTCAGGCTCCTGACTGGACACAAGCGGAACGGACTGTGGGTCATATATGTCATGACAGCCATGACATGACCAATGGCCAATCGCACTCCTGTGAAGAAAATGAAACGTCTCGCCGTCTCGCAACAGACAGACAGCAGACAACTGCGTTGCATATTATATATATATAGATAGAAGTATAGATAGATAATCTATAGATAATATATAGATACTCACGCAACTCATGCGGCTTAAGCACTCCGGAAGCATTCCGGAATGGCTGGAGATGGCTGGAGTGTGGATTTGTCGAGCTTCCATGAACTTCGAACGGTTGTCTATGGTTGTCTCATGCTCCAGCTGTTAGTTACTGTTGGTCGGCTGAGGTGGACTTGTCAGCGGCGCTGAGGCAGGGACTTCACGGTGAAACCATGTGAAAGCCTGAGCAGCCGCAGACAAGGATCACAGCGCCAAGAGGATACCAGTGGGCCGTCACGCAGGAGGACATTTCAATATATTTCAATACTATTCAATACATGTCAATACATTTCAATACTGCAAATACATTTCATATTTCTTAAATTCCTTTGCAGAAAGGGAGCAGCAAGTGAAAAGCCACACTGCATACCCTGCGACCTTCCGGCAACAACTTTTCCATGTAGAAACTTGCACAGGACATGGAGATCGCAATAGGCAGCACCGAGGAGCTGCCAGGCAGGAATGATGAAGTTCTGGTCTGTTTTTTTGTTAATATAACTAAATGTGCACATATATTTATATATATATATATATATATTAAGAATGTGTGTGTGTGTGTGTGTTTCTTCTCTCTCTCTCACTTATGTTGATGCATATTGCCTCAGGCAGCGCATTCATCACAAAGAAACAATTATATACTGTAAGCTTCCAACAAGCCTTCAGACTTCCGCAATGTGATCTACAGCACGAAGCATCAGTTTTGCATACATTCACATCCGTTCACTGAAATGCATTGAATTGCTGTATCTTCTGCGTGGCTCGAGCATGACAGCTGCTTAGCTTTGAATTTGAGAATGAGAGGAGAGCTTGGAGAGCAAGTGTCACCAAAAGCTGAGGCGCCGAGTGAACATCGGTCACTGGTGGCATCTTTGAAAGAGAAGCAGTTGGAAGAGCTACGTGCACAAGTCGCAAGGTGTGGCACACGATGTGGCAAGCTGCATCATGAACATTCGTGGCAATCCAGGAACTTCGAAGATGAGCTAGCTTGGACCGTGCAGCAGATGGAGATGCACCGGAGGCAAATTGAAGCCCACCAGCGTCAGCTCTCTATCCTGGAACGTCGCCATGCGGAGATTGTGACGGCACTGGCGAGTGGAGGATCAGGGGGGTCAGTGGGCAAGCTGTTTTGCATGGAGGACATGCTTGGATCAGAGGTCGCAAGCACCAGCAGCGGCAAAAGCCACAGCACTTTGCTGGGCTTCACCAATGCCATGGCCGCAGCTGAAGCCAGACTTGGTCAGAAAGACAGACGTCGAGACTCTCGAGACGCTCGAGACGCTCGAGATCCTCGAGATCGTGAAGTTCAGCCAGGTGCTGCCGTAGGTGCTGCCGTAGGTGCTGCCGTAGGTGCTGCCGTAGGTGCTGCAGGTGCTGTAGGCGCGATGATTCCTCAAGATCCATCGAATCCACCGAATCCACCGAACCCATCAAACCAAGGATGGAAGACAGTCTTCAAAGCACACTGGCCGTCCAGAGCTGCGTGAATCTGCGTGACATATCCTTAGTTAGAGGGCTGAACAGAAGCTAGCAGCTGGCCCAAAGAGGCATCCGCACGGGAAAATGATTGCCAAATTGCACACATTGGAGGACTGCAGCCACGCCTTGTGTTTGTAAAATGTTTGAGAGCTTTGGCAATCGACAGTGACATAAAAGTAACACAGCCTTGGATTTACCACAGGTGACAGCTATCAATGGCGACATGGCACCCATGGAAGAGGCCCATGTCATCCTATGTCAACTGGCCCTTCACCTCATGTCTTCCCATTTTGTCACAGGATGATGCCGGAACAGACCTCCGATCAACCTGCATGAAGAATGAAGAGCCAAGCACCAAGCGACGAAATCAAAGGACCCCTGAAATCACCAGGATGGGAGAATAATTAACAGAATAGAAATGAATCCCGCGTGTAAGAAAGTTTCCAGGCACTCTGAATTCCCCACTTTTTCATCCATTCTGAGGTTTGCAGTGTTGGACATTCTAAGTCTGGCAGTGGGCTGAGTCTCAAACCCCATTACAGAATGCTGTTTCAGGTTTCTGGGGTTTTTGTTAGGATTGAGGAGTGATATGTATTCCGAATGTGCTTCTCTGAATTCTCTGCAAGGTCGATTCCCGAGGGGACTCCTTCGGTGAATTGGATGCCATTGGATGCCAGAAGCTTCGTACTGGGCTACAGGCTGAAGGAGCAGATGCCAAAGGCACCCCAGTTTTCGCCTACTTGTGTTGATAAAAGACAGTTCAGAATGGTGAGGATGTAAAGTTGAGGATGCGTATCTTAGCAAGAAATGGAAATGAGATGATGATAGATGCTGATGATGCTGTCATTCCGTCTCAAACTTGTTAGACTTGCACCTGAGCCACCAGTGCTTTCCTTTTCGGTCCAAGTGGCACACCGCTGCGCCCTGCTACCACCACCAGATCCATTGCGATGCTTCGAGGCGGTTTGCTTTCCGTGTCACACTGGGCGCGGCAGTATGCCACCAAGGCAACGCACCCCAGAGAGTATGCGATTTGGAAGAAGTTGGACCGAGATCGTAGCGGCTTTCTGACTCATGATGAAATCAGACATATGTGCAAGAAGTTTGATGCTTCTGAGCATGCAAGGGTGCTCAGTTGGATCTTGGATCCTGACGGCAAAGGAGGCGTCGACTTCTCAGGCTTTTGTGAGAATTTCAAGGCAGTGCAAATGGTCCGAAACGCGGCAAGACTCAAATCCTGGCACCGAACGTTTGGCTTGGGTGTCGCTGGAAATGTGGCTGGACACATGCAACAAGCTGGTGAAGCAGATTCCAGCCACAGCTCAAACATGCCCGCAGCTGTTTTCACCTTCTACGCGCCTCATCCTCACACAGTGGATGCCTCGGAGGACGAAGTGCTGGGTCGCTTGCAAAATTTCCCAGTGAGCAATGCCGTCCTTGATTTCCCCCGCTTTGGAGGGAATGTGCAGGTAGAGCCTGAGATGGGATTGCTGTGTGACATAGTTTACACCAGGGACGGATCGGCTGTTGAACGATTGGTGCCGCGTCGCGTGGCTGCCTTCAATGATTGTTCAATCAGACAGCTAGATGGTTCATCAAAGTTGAGTGAGAAAAAGAATTGGGGTGCAGGGAGCAAAGGCATTAGCCTGAGAAGCTTCCGAGTGAACTCCATTTCCCAGGGAAGCTTTGTGGATCAACTATGTTTAGCCTCGTACATTAAGCGCGGAGAGGACACCTTCCAGTACAGTGTGCCAGCTCCTGCAAGGAACTATCTTCTTTTCCACGATGCTTTGCTGGACTGGATTGTCAACAGCATCAACACACAGCAAGATACTGACAAATGGGAGGAGATTTTCCCGCGCCTTGTTGAGAGTGACTATCCAGTCTCAATGTGGATAGCGCTTGGGGCAGGTGAGTACACAGAGTGGGGCAACCAGAACTATTTACAGCCAAAGGATCAGAGCCTTGTCATGGTGTATGACGAGGAGATCTTCCCCAATGGTCCAGATGAGGGGATTGTCGAAACACTCTTTGAAGAGGGCGACGCTCCTCATGGCATTATTGCTTTGCATCAGACTTTTGTTTGAGTTTCCCAAACACACCTGCCCAACTCGCAAAAGATGCGATTTTATTGATTTGAGTTTAAATTCGTTGGACCATGTTGGACCTTTGTGTCTCACAGCTGCATGGAGTCAAAGGCCGCTTGACAGTCCAGCAGTGTAGGATGCACGGCGAATTTGGTGATGTTTGTCCAGATTGACAGGGACATACAGGGGCATGTGTTTCCACATTGGTTGCTTGGCAGGTTGGTCGATGTTAATTCTTTGGCTCTTGCAGCAGGCTATGCTTTTGCAAGCAGCAGGGAAAAGAGATAGGCGAGTTTTTTTGGGATGTGCAACGCACATCCAACAGCAATGGACAGCACGTTTGCCAGGCCGCTGCAAAGCAATCGCTTGACTTTCGGCTCCGAGCTGGGGAAGAAACTTACAGGCTATGCTGGCTATGCTGATCAGAAATTATGGGAGGAGAAAGAGAAATTTTCTCATAAGAATGATAAATAAATATATATATATATGTATATATTGTATAATTATATATTGCACATACGTACGCGTATCACAGACATGTAGATACATTCTCTCTCTCTCTCTTTCTCTCTCTCTCTCTCTCTGCCTCTGTCTCTATATGAAGTTTTAAATATAACTAAATGTATATATATATATACATATACGTATACGTATATGTATGTGTTACGAAGTTACGCACGAAAACAGGACACGAAAACATGCAGAATCTAAAAATTAAACAGTACTGTGGTCGCGCAAGAAACGCGCAGGGTTCGCCCAAGGCCGGCGCAAGAGCCACTTTCGCACAAAAGAATTTAGCACAACCCCCACTTGGAACCACTTGGAACCACTTGAGCCTTGCTGCACTTGCCACCTGCAAGTTGTAAAATGTTATACGATGTTATAAGATGTTATAAGTACCTTGCAGCCTCTTCCAGATCAGTTTCCACTGTGTTAGAACACATAACGAACACATATTATTTGGATTCGAGGCCTTGACACCACTGACCAAGGTGCTGGACTTAGGACATGTCCTTGAAATATCTTGAAATGACGTGGTCATCAGGTCATCAAAACGGATTGTTATCCACATTGCTTGCTTGAACTGGACCTGATCATTGAACTCTGTTGCAGTTGGGCAAAGACCCCGGGAAGCCATGTGTTTGAGTGCTGGTTAGGAATAGGTAGGAGCAGCCTAGGGGCGGCCTACAAATCCAAGATTTGGCACCAAGGCTTCGGGTTCCTGCTTCCGCGCGTGGTTCTTGTCAGGCCGCGAGCTGAAAAGGAGGGGACTATTTGATGGCCATCCGCTGCAATACACCGCAAACTCAAACTGAAGATGTGAAAATTGTTGCCACGGACATTTCTTGCGTGCAACAATCCTTTGGAGATGCCCATTGCCCAAGGCAGCCGAAGCAGGACAAGCAGGACAAGCTAGCAGCATAGTTGTAGGCACCTACCTCAGGATTCGGGTTGCCAAATCTGCAGGTGCATGGTTCAATTCCAGCCTTTCACAAGTGGATTTGATTGCGTGATATTCAGCGTATGTTCCACCGCTTTGCCAAGGCTTTCAAGTCCATGAGAAGTTGGAAAAAGGTACTCTGGGTGCTGCCAAGCTCTCAGCTGAGAGGTTGACGTCAAGAGAAGCATTAACATTTACCTACTGAGCTCACCGACCCGAAAGGTGCTCATTACTCTGGCGGAAGACTTCAAGCACACGTGCACAGACTCAGATCTGGTACAGATTCTGCGCAACATCTAGCAAGTGACTATAGTTGTAAGTTCTGCATAGCTGAGGAGGTCCTTTCAATACACCTGGGCCATATCCTCACAGTGAGATGAATGATGTGATGATTTATGACAATAGCTGTGCCATTGAATCTACGAAGCCTTGAGACTGCACAAAATGTCAAGGGTTGAGCAATCGGGCAAGTTGACTGATTCGAGGCTGCGCTTCACAGAAGACCTGGAGATTCTGAATCCAGCCTTGCCTGTTGCTTATTCTCGCAGAGATGGCTGGGCAGAAGTGAAGAATGTTCGAAGCTCAGGAATGCTAAGCTGGGCCAAGTTCAAAAAGTGTTTGGGGCAGCGGTTCTTGGAAAGCCTTGGAGATGAGGTCGATCGCATCGTGATATTTCTAGATGCATCGCAGAGCATCGCCCTCAGGGCCATACGATACCCGGCTGCAATGGTTGGGAGCATTGTCTAATTTGGATTCTTGCTCCACACAGTTCACAACCCAGAAGGACCCCTAGTGGATTTGGAAGGTATTGCACGTCACTTAGAAGGTTTAGCGATAATTTAAACGTTAAGGGTTCATCATTTTCCATTGATCTCCTGCGCAAGATAGAAAGAGACACCGGGACTTTGTTGGCCGAGTTTCTGGTGAGAGATGTCTGGAATGTCTCAAGGGCAATTAAAGGCCTACACGATTGAAATATGATTATAGCAGTTGAAATAATTTCAACATATTTCAACAAAACACCAACTTCACATAAGTTGGCACATAAGTTGACACGAAGTTCTTGGGAGATTTTGCCACCTTGAGGACTTCCGTTTTCCTGTCACTGTTCCGGAGGAGCTCTCCGCACCTTGGCGTCAAATCTTCCACAGCGCAAGAAAAGCATTGTTTCATAAGTTTCATATCACATCCAAGGCCTTCAATGTGTGGCGGATTACCCTGTGTCAGCCGGGTTGGAGCCTTTGAGTTTGAAATCGATGTGAAAGAAAACCACGAGATTCATGGTCTAGAATTTGGACAACATGTAATAGTTCAGTTATATGTAATTAATTAATCATAATTAGTTATATATCCGCATACATTGTCGTCGGAAAAGGTAGGAAACATGTGCTTGTTGTTTTTCAGGAAAGGCCAGTGCCTAGCACAATCTTAGCACCAACCGCTAGGTTCAAACTGTTTTTGCCGCTCTCCCAGCTCCGCCAGGTTCTGCAGTCTGTTCGGACTCAGAGTCCCCTGATGCACTGCTAACGCCCCTTTGCTGACTTCAACTGTCTTGGGGAATGACGGGATGGTTTGGGAAGCATGACAAAAAATCAAAAACAACCAGAGTGAACTACATTTTTTGTGTGGAGGTGCATCCTGCCTTCACTCATCTCATTATTTCCCGGCATGTGTTGAATGTGAAATATCGATGCCGTTTCGGCTCAAAAGATGTTTCCCAGGCACCATGCCTGGGAAACAGGCACCAATATGCACCCTGCCGTTTTGAATCCTAATGGAGGAAGGGCGAGAGGCATCCTCTACATTCTCTGCATTTTGCACCGGCTTCCAGGACAACGGCAGAGCCACTCCTGCATTTAGAGCATATGAACCTGTGATATCCTGTGATCTTTTGACTTTGCTCTCTAGCTGTCCAGCATTGACCAGCTGGCGCCTGAGTTAAGGCCATGTTGAATACATCTTTCACATAGTGCATCTTCAAAGCGGTTGCGCCTGGAAGGCTCGAAGCGTGACACTGGCACAATGTGGTACAGCAAGATCAAATCAGAACTAATCAGATTGGTCATGGAGGCATTGATTTATCGTATCTTGATATACCATGATATACCTATATTACGAAAGCCAGCCGGGAAGCTGGCTAGTTGTTATTTGCGAACGAAGTGAGAATAGGGGGTCTGGGGGGGGTAGTTGCCAAACGGGTCAAAAATCGGGAAAATAGGTGGTGATTTTAGTGAGAAAAAAGTATGGTTTTGCAGGGTAATGTACCAGGCGGCAAAACAGTGACTGACGGTGGGTATCGATTCCCCCTATGTCCGGTTTTCTGGGGTTTTCTGGGCTCAGTCAATGGACAGATAGATGGGCCAACTAGTTAGAGGAGATTGGAGAGAGAAGGACATTGGGTGAAAAGTATGTGCAAGAAGGGTTTCTGGGTGAAGAGTCTCTGGGTGAAAGTATATGGGTGAAAAGTCTGTGCAAGAAGAGTTCCTGGGTGAAGAGTCTCTGGGTGGAAAGTCTGTGCAAGAAGAGTTTCTGGGTGAAGAGTCTCTGGGTGAAAAGTACATGGGTGAAAAGTATGTGCAAGAAGCGTTTCTGGGTGAAGAGTCTTTGGGTGAAAAGTATATTGGTGAAAAGTATGTGCAAGAAGAGTTTCTGGATGAAGAGTCTCTGGGTGAAAAGTATATGGGTGAAAAGTATGTGCAAGAAGAGTTTCTGGGTGAAGAGTGTCTGGGTGAAGAGTCTCTGGGTGAAAAGTATATGGGTGAAAAGTATGCGCAAGAAGAGTTTCTGGGTGAAGAGTCTCTGGGTGAAGAGTCTCTGGGTCAAAAGTATATGGGTGAAAAGTATGTGCAAGAAGAGTTTCTTTGTGAAGAGTCTATGGGTGAAAAGAATATGGGTGAAAAGTATGTCCAAGAAGAGTTTCTGGGTAAAGAGTCTCTGGGTGAAAAGTATGTGCAAGAAGAGTTTCTGGGTGAAGAGTCTCTGGTTTTAAACTATGTACAAGAAGAGTTTCTGGATGAAGAGTCTCTGGATGAAAAGTATATGAGAAGGGTGCATGGGTGAAAAGTATGTGCAAGAAGAGTTTCTGGGTGAAGAGTCTCTGGGTGAAAAGTATATGGGTCAAAAGTATGTGCAAGAAGAGTCTTTGGGTGAAAAGTATATGGGTTAAAAGTATGTGCAAGAAGGGTTTCTGGGTGAAGAGTCTCTGGGTGAAAAGTATGGGTGAAAAGTATGCGCAAGAAGAGTTTCTGGGTGAAGAGTCTCTGGATGAAAAGGGTGACAAACATGTGCAAGAAGAGTTTCTGGGTGAAGAGTCCCTGGGTGAAAAGTATATGGGTGAAAAGTACATGGGTGAAAAGTATGTGCAAGAGGAGTTTCTGGGTGAAGAGTCTGTGGGTGAAAAGTTTATGGGTGAAAAGTATGTGCAAGAAGAGTTTCTGGGTGAAGAGTCTGTGGGTGAAAAGTATATTGGTGAAAAGTATGTGCAAGAAGAGTTTCTGGGTGAAGAGTCTGTGGGTGAAAAGTATATGGGTGAAAAGTAGAGTTTCTGGGTGAAGAGTCTCTGGGTGAACAGTATATTGGTGAAAAGTATGTGCAAGAAGAGTTTCTGGGTGAAGAGTCTCTGGGTGAAAAGTATATGGGTGAAAAGTATGTGCAAGAAGAGTCTCTGGGTGAAAAGTATATGGGTGAAAAGTATGTGCAAGAAGGGTTTCTGGGTGCAGAGTCTCTGGATGAAAAGTATATGGGTGAAAAGTATGTGCAAGAAGAGTTTCTGGGTGAAGAGTCTCTGGGTGAAAAGTATATGGATGTATATGGGCGAAAAGTATGTGCAAGAGCAGTTTCTGGGGGAAGAGTCTGTGGATGAAAAGTTTATGGGTGAAACGTATGTGCAAGAAGAGTTTCTGGGTGAAGAGTATATGGGTGAAAAGTATGTGCAAGAAGAGTTTCTGGGTGAAGAGTCTCTGGGTGAAAAGTATATGGGTGAAAAATATGTGCAAGAAGAGTTTCTGGGTGAAGAGTCTCTGGGTGAAAAGTATATGGGTGAAAAATATGTGCAAGAAGAGTTTCTGGGTGAAGAGTCTTTGGGTGAAAAGTATATTGGTGAAAAGTATGTGCAAGAAGAGTTTCTGGGTGAAGAGTCTCTGGGTTAAAAGTATATGGGTGAAAAGTATGTGCAAGAAGGGTTTCTGGGTGAAGAGTCTCTGGGTGAAAAGTATATGGGTGAAAAGTATGTGCGAGAAGAGTTTCTGGGTGACAAGTATGTGCAAGAAGAGTCTCTGGGTGAAAAGAGTATTGGTGAAAAGTATGTGCAAGAATGGTTTCTGGGTGAAGAGTCTGTGGGTGAAAAGTTTATGTGCAATGATCAAAAGACGCTATGAAAGGCTTCAATTACGATCCGCCATCACTACTCAAAACATGTGATTTACTGTGTGTAGCGATAGGGGGCCTTGTGTAGCGATACCTCTTTTTAGACTTTGTTTATGATTGAACCTTCCTGTTGGGCGCATGACTTTCCAATCTTTTGATGTCAGAGTGCGACACTGGAGCAGTCGCAGTGGGCTGGTCTTCCTGGGTAGTTGCAAGATGGCCTGTCGTCAAGTATGTATGAGATAGTTACATTAAACAATGTTGATATATTGTGGTATGTTGATCTATAAGGTATGCAAGAAACTAATTCATAACGCATCATGAGCTTGATGATGGTGATGATGCTGATGATGATGGTGATGGTGATGATGTTGATTCAGATAGTGACCGTGCTGAGATATGTTGGAAAAGCATCCTTGTGCGGTCACGGACGCTTCTCCACAGCCACTGTCCAGGAGTAGAATTGCAACATGGAGCTTGTCAGAATTTCGTGTCACTTGAAACATACCCCTGAGATCACACACTTTCTGGTCCCCGTAGCGATGCCGGAAGCGATACCCCTCGATACCCAGAGCGATACCTGAAATCCATGAAATTAGGGAGTACCCCACATGGTCACTTGAAACTATACAACTTGCGCTATAGGTGGAAAAATATGGGAAGTATGAACAAGGGTACCCTCAAGTTCTTAATGGGTTAGTTCTTAAAGGGTTCATTGGTCAGGGTTTTGCCGATTCATTTTGGCGTGGTATTAGGCTGCAAAGGGGGCGGGGTGAAGAAAAAAAGGCGCCGGAAACAAGGCAGCACAGGCAAGACAAGCCAAGACAAGCCAACACAAGCCAAGGGCAGCCTCCGAGGTCAGATGACCTGCAGTGAGTCCGGCTGGTGTCTAGCTGAAGCTGTCGACGTCAGCCTTGGTGATCACGTAAAAGTTTGAATTTCCCTGGAGATACCATCGCAAGAGGAATAAGAATCCGATTCCTCATCTGGACCCTCTTCTTCTAGCAGCAATTCTGCCTAGTTGGTGAAAAGGGTGCTGGGACTGTGTGTAGCGATAGGGGGCCTTGTGAAGCGATGGCATGACCTCACCACATGAATTGAGTTTTGACGGTCGCACATATGGCGGAAAAGTATGTGCAACAAGAGTTTTTAGGTGAAGAGTCTCTGGGTGAAAAGTATATGGGTGAAAAGTATGTGCAAGAAGAGTTTCTGGGTGAAGAGTCTCTGGGTAAAAAGTATATGGGTGAAAAGTATGTGCAAGAAGAGTTTCTGGGTGAAAAATATATGGGTGAAAAGTATGTGCACGAAGAGTTTCTTGGTGAAGAGTTTCTGGGTGAAAAGTATATGGGTGAAAAGTACGTGCAAAAATGGTTTCTGGGTGAAGAGTCTGTGGGTGAAAAGTATATGGGTGAAAAGTATGTGTAAGAAGAGTTTTTGGGTGAAGAGTCTCTGGGTAAAGAGTATATGGGTGAAAAGTATGTGCAAGAAGAGTTTCTGGGTGAAAAGTATATGGGTGAAAAGTAGGTGCAAGAATGGTTTCTGGGTGAAGAGTCTCTGGGTGAAAAGTATGTGCAAGAAGAGTTTCTGGGTGAAGAGTCTCTGGGTGAAAAATGTATTGGTGAAAAGTATGTGCAAGAAGAATTTCTGGGTGAAGAGTCTCTGGGTGAAGAGTCTCTGGGTGAAAAGTATATGGGTGAAAAGTATGTGCAAGAAGAGTTTCTGGGAGAAAAGTATATGGGTGAACAGTACGTGCAAGAATGGTTTCTGGGTGAAGAGTCTGTGGGTGAAAAGTATATGGGTGAAAAGTATGTGTAATAAGACTTTTTGGGTGAAGAGTCTCTGGGTTAAAAGTATATGGGTGAAAAGTATGTGCAAGAAGAGTTTCTGGGTGAAGAGTCTCTGGGTAAAAAGTATATGGGTGAAAAGTATGTGCAAGAAGAGTTTCTGGGTGAAAAGTATTTGGGTGAAAAGTATGTGCAAGAAGGGTTTCTGGGTGAAGAGTCTCTGTGTGAAAAGTAGATTGGTGAAACGTATGTGCAAGAAGAGTTTCTGGGTGAAGAGTCTCTGGGTGAAAAGTATATGGGTGAAAAGTATGTGCAAGAAGAGTTTCTGGGTGAAAAGTATTTGGGTGAAAAGTATGTGCAATTAGAGTTTCTGGGTGAA